AAAAAAAATGCTATTTAGTACAAAGTATTAGGCTGGACACAAAGATTTGGTGGTTTTTCCTTAAGACAGACTCTAGCTAAAGATTAGAAAATCCTCCTTTATACTTTTCCTGTACTTGTGCAAACGTAGTCCATGCAAAAGACAGACTTTCAAAAATCAGTATGTTTACAAGTTGCCCAAATTTAAAAGCCAGATTTTGTTTTTTTTTTTTTTTAAACAAACAACAAAAAACAAAACAAAACAAAAGCCTGAACACCTGCCGTCTAGGGCTGGCATTTGGTACAGTGTTACAGTGTGCTTGGGATGCCCACATCACATTAGTGGTGTGTGTGGCTTGCGTCCTCGGTCTACTCTTAGTTCCAGTTTCCTGCTAATACACATCCTGGGATGCAGCAGGTGATGGCTTAAGTAGCTGGGTCCCTATCATCCACGTGGCAGACCTGGATTATGGTTCTGACCCCTGACTTCGTCCTGGCCCAGTCTCAGCTGTTAGGGACATTTCAGGAATGAACCAGTATATGAGAGATCTCTGTCTCACAAATGAATACATAACAAAATTTAAAAATATTTGACTTCTGACTTCTCTCAAAAGCCAGCAGTCCTGGATACACTGGCGTGCCCGGTCCTGTGGCGATGGGCAGGTCATTCCCTTCATGGGGGTCCTGTTTTCTTCCTGTTAGCCCCCATCCCTGGTGCGGACTCTTGATCCTACTAAACCTTAGGGCCATTCTATCTGTTTTATTATGGTCAAATATGCATAACAAAATTTGCCATTCCAACCATTTTCAGTGGCAATTCAGTGTCTTTAAATGCATTTGAAATTTTGTACAATTGTTACCACTATCCATCCCTACATCTTTTTTTTTTTTTTTAATCTTCCCAAACTGAAACTATGTACTGGCCAAATGCTCCTCCCTTCCCACCTCCGTTCCAGTCCTTGATCACCACTACTCTCCCAGGCTAGGTCCCACCTCTGAGTAGAATCACACATTTTTATTTTTGTGTCTGGATTCCTTCATTTTTCCCGATGTTTTCAAGCCCAGACATCTGATTTTTTAAATGAACTTTATTATTTTTTTATAAAGCACACACATTGATTTTTTTAAATTGCATTTCATTAGGAAAAAAAAAAGCACTTTTGGTTAAACAGGACAGGGAGAATCTTCAGTTCTGAGCTTAAAGTACCCCCGCCCCACCCCCACATTTTTACATGCAGGTTTTAGTGTGCAGTACTCAGGCGACCCGTGTCTTTACACAGGTGTTTTACTGCTAATGGTTAATGCTTCTGGTATCCCCCAGAGGGCTTTCCATATTTTATAGTCATGCTATGAAGACACAGGGATGCAATGAGGATTAGTTAAATGTGTGTGGCAGTTTGCTGTATAAACTAACTCTCTGGAACTAGTTTTCACTCCTTGCTGTTAACTTGCACAGCTTTTACTGTCAATACCATTCATTTAGCACTTAGCATATGCTTGCTAGTTGCTTTTTATGTGTATGTCTTTGAAGGCAGGAGCCAAGTCTTATACTTCTTTGTTTTCTCAGTCTTGTCCCTAATAGCAGCTCAATCAATGTTTGTTGATGTTGGCCTCTCCCGCCCGCGCCCCTCCTCCATTTTAAGTAGACTAGGCACTGCTGATCTTTAAATTCAAACTCAGTTTAAACAAACTCAAAGGTTTTTAGGGTACAAAAACACAGAGGAAGTCTTGCCAGGCAGGGGGCAAGGATCACCTAAAGGCTTGGAAGACCTGGGGGAAGCAGGGGGACCCAGAACTTTGCACTGGCTAAGAAGTAACAAAGACTGGTTAAGGTAAGAAGTAACAAAGACTCAGTATGAACTTCAGAGTTCTGCTGACTCTGCCCCATTAAGATACAAATTTGGGGAGGACCCAGGGTGGTTTCTGAAAAGGAATTGTTAAAGTTAGGGGTTTTAGGGTCCAGTGCCTTGGCTGCATAAGCTAATCCTTCACCCAGAAACACAGGTGTTGCATGTAGGCATCTGTTTGTGTCCCAGCTGCTCTATTTCTGATCCAACTCCCTGCTTATGGCCTGGGAAAGCTGCCGGGGATGAGTCAAGTCCTTGGGACCCTGTAACCATGTGGGAGACCTGGAAGAAGCTCTTGGCTCTTGGATTTGGATCATCTCAGCTCCAGTCATTGCTGTCATTTGGGGAGTGGTGAACTAATAGATGAAGATCTTTCTCTCTGCCTCTCTTCTCTCTGTAAATCTGCCTTTCAAATTAAAAATAATCTTTAGAAAAAGTGTTCCAGGGCTTTCCATTGCATGTAGGCTTTGGATGTGGTGAAGATAACGCTAGAAAAGTTGCCTTGATGGTAACTTTAAATCAGGGGGAAGACATATCAGGGGTCTTTTGAAAGTTCACAGAAAATGTATATTATAAAGGAATATGGGGTAGGCATGGTGGCACAGGAACTGAAGCATAAATGTGTATGCAAATGATGATGTATTGTGAAAGTTACACATGATCCTAAAGAAAAAGACTATAGAAATGGATGATAGAAAGGGTGTTTCCACTATTCTCAGTAATGTTTTAGTTTGATTAGGTGCATATTCCATTTTAACTGCATTGTTAATTTTATGAGTGTCTTATTGCTAATGTGATAAGTAGTAGTTCTCCAGCATCTTCTCATCCTATCTGACTCTCCTGTCCTCACCTCCAATCATCCTGAAACAATGTTGCCTCCAAGACCAGATGTCTCCATTTCTTTGTAACACTCAGACTCACCTTCCTCAGGAGATCTCATGGGGAGAACTTCAACTTCCACATATAAGGCATCTATCCGATCAAGAATCCATTCTGCCCACGCTCTTTCTTCTGGATCTTTCAGCAGTTCTTAGCAGATCACATGGTACACTCTATGACATGCCTCCCACCTAACCACTCTTCCTGTACCCAGAGTGTATTCTTAGATCCTGTTCACCGTGCCATAGTGTTTCCTTTAAACCCAATTGCTTCTGCAGGCCTTGGTCCATGGCCACTGGAAAGGCTTGAATTGGTTGTCCCTCTCTAATTACCATGAGATCATGATAATAGCTCAGTGTTGTCAGGACCTTTGCATGTAGGTCTGCTTCCTCCTTGAAAGGTTTTCTAGGAAATATGAATCTGTAGAGAATGGTGGTTTCCATGGTAAATGTTCCCTCATATTTGTTTTCTCAAGTTCACTTCAGAAATACACAGCGTGATTTCCTTTTTCAGCACTAGCACCACAATAGATTTAGGTTGTGGCACAACTGCAGAAATGTTTAAAAAAGAAATCTCACCCACCCTGGCTAGAAAAGGGGTAATTTATTATTCTAACTGCAGGGAGCCAGCTCCGTCATATCCACCCCCGAAGCTGTAGGAGAAGAATTGACGTTTTAAAACGAAGCTACAAAGCCTACACAATCACGGATGTAAATGCTTAAACAGATAAGCAGAATGTTTGATTAACAAACACATGGGAAGCACTTCAGCATGTGTCACGCACGAGGATGAACACACACGTGTGTGGAGGGCTTTGTGGGTTAAGAGTCTTGATACACATTTCATTGCACAGGACTGGTCTAAAGAGCCTTTATTTCCAGATAGGAAAAGGAGGGCTGAGAAGTTAAGCCACTTAAAAGTCGCAGACTAGCTTCACGAAGTGCCAGTCCCGCTCTCCGGTCCTCCCCCTCCCCACGCCGATGAATTCTGGGTCTCTAGGACTCCAAATTCTGCATTTCCATTACCCCTATGCTGCTTCTCAGTGCTTGCCTTTTTCCCAGGCGTAAAATGGTAGATTTTTCATGTCCCCGGATGGCGTTCTCAACCCTCCGTGTTTTTAAACGATATCATTTTTTTTTCATAGCCAGGTAATGGGAACAGCACACTGACACCGCAGGTACTTTTCTCTCCTCCTGGTTGAAAAAAGGAAGAAAAGTTACCTACTCCCAGTGGCCTGGAGTGTGCCATAACATAAAGGTGAACCAGAGCCGGCAGACACACTGTCGCACCCTTTTACCAGACTGAGAAATCAAGCTTCTCATCTTTCTCTTCCCAGCAGCAGCTGCGAGAGAACATAGAACTAGACAATAGCCTCTTGTTTTCGTTTTATGAATTTTGAGGGCGGGGCGGGACAAAAAGATGGGACTGACAACCTAACGGACCAATCGCAAGCAAACCCTAAACTTCGGAGTAGCCAAAGGGTAGCCGTAAAATAATGATGGGCGGAACTTAGCGCTCCAGGGTTCGCTCCGGCTGCTCAGCACCGCGCAGGGAGCCCACCCAAGGGGCGGCGCCTCCTTAGGGCCCCGCTCACGCCCCCTCTCGCCGGCCAAGTGCACCAAGGGGGAGGGGGAGAGCGAGCGAAGGAAGAAAGGAGGGTGTCTTCCCTGATCTGTGGCCTGGGGAGGGGGGGTGAGGGAGCAGGGGTGCTGTGGCTAATAGGAAACAAGGGGGAAAGGGAGACGGAGGATCTGTGGCCCTCCTTCCTGCTTTATTTTACCCGGGCTTCAGTGGAAGTAGCTTTCCAGCATTTCTATTATTTGTTTTTCTTTCTCCCGCAGTAGGGCGGGGAGCTGCCCTGGGTCTCCCACGCGATTCTGCTGAGCTATGGCCACAGAGTATTAGTGGCCGTCTTGGCGCAACCGTCTCCCTCCTCCCCGCCGGTCGCTGCGTGGGCTGTCCCGGGTTGCCATAACCGAGGCTCTCCCCGGCCAGTGGGAGGAAGGGCGAGAGCGAGGGTCCTCCGATTGCCTGCCCCCTGCCCAGCGGCCTTGCTCCTGGACCCCGCTGTTCGATTGTTTGAAACTTCCCAGCTCCTCCGTTCCCCCTTCCCCACCCCGGGGCGCCAGTCTTCCGCGCTCGGCCCCCTGGCCTCAGGGTCCGGCTGGCTCCCGCCCTTCTTTCCCCGCCCTTTACTCCGCCCCGCTTCCCGACCCGCCCCCGGCTCCTGGGCGGTCCTAGCCGCTCACCGCAAGAAGAAAAGCCGCACAGTCCTGCCCCTGCTCTGCCTCCCATCCTCTGCTCAGGAGCTGCCTTCAGCGCAGTCACGCCCCTTCCTTCCGAGGAGCTTTCTGGCTGCCTGAACTGGTAGACCCCCTGAATTACTTCTCCATCTCCCCTCTTTCGCCTCCTCTTAGTTCTCTTCGCTTCTCCCCCGCTACCACTACCACCTCCAGTCTGTCTCGCCTCTCACCATCCGCTGCTCCACCCTCCGGCCCGGTATCCTGCCTGTCCACTGCCACCAAGGAGAGCCCGGACGGAGCAGCGAAGAGGGGAGCAGCCGGGGTTTGGGGTCCTCCCCCTGCCCATCCCTGGCCTCCGGCCCAGGACCAAAGCCACTAGAACGAGCAGAGAGTCGTCACCTTGTCTTCGTTGCCTTCGGGGGTAGGAGACGCATGGTTACTTTTCGCGGGGATCTGGGGGCAGGAATCCATAGTGGCATGAACTTGGTCGTGCCCTCGGCATGAGTGAGTCAATTTAGCTGCGTGTGGGGATGCTCATGTGTTCCATTTTACAACTGGCCATGAGTTTTTTTGGGGATGTGCAAGTGAGTGAAATTGATTAAAGACTATGCACTTGTTTCCCGTTGTACTTTGACTAGGAGATGCTAGTGGGTACCACAACTTGGTGGTGCTTTCATTTGCTTAACTCCTGGGGTCCTGGTAGGTCTCTATGCAATTCATCACGGTAGAAACTAAAGACCCAGGGAAGCTGAAGTCTACTTTTAGCCCAGCTTGAATGTCCGCTCTTATCTCTTAACTGGTTAGGCTTCTCTTTTAAGTGCTTTGGCTTGGGGTGGGTGCTTTCACTCCCTGAGCCCGAGGGCACGTTTTCTTGAAGTTTTAAAGTGTAGACGTGATTTACATTGCAACGCTGTTTTGTGTGTGTGTGTGTGTGTGTGTGTGTGTGTGTGTGGTGGGAGTGGCACCTATCCCTAAGTACTGTATAATATGCGTAGAGGTTGGAAAGTAGTTTTGTGAGTGGGGCAGGAATTGGAGGGCCTGCATCTGGAGTCCTGTAAATAGGTACTTCTGCAGTAGGATGTACTTCGTAGACGTAAGAATATAATGAGCAGAAAAAAATGAGAGGGAAAAGCAAATTTTTATAGACTGAGCCATCCCTTGTAAATTGCCACTAATAACCATATAATAATTTACACACGGCGCTAAATACTAAGTAATGAGAGGAAAGGGAACATTGGTTTAAGAGAGCATTTCCGATCCTTAGCTTTCTCTGACAACTGGCGGAGTTTAATTTAGTTGCCACCACTCTTCGCCATGGAGCGGGGATGTTGAGGGGCAGTTAAAACTTTTATGAAGATAACCTTCTTACATTCAGAGAGGAAGATAATTAGTCACCAGAATCTTCAGTGATGAAGGGCTGGGGGTTTTGAAGACTCCTTGAGCTAGGCTTTGGGAAAGGTTGTTTCTGAGGCCAGCCTTTGTGAAGCTTTCCCAGTTAGACCTTTCAGCACCCTCATTTAGTAACTAAGAATAGTTTGAAATGCCAACTTGGAGCTGGGATAAATTTTCACCCATCTTCCACCTATCTTCAGTTGGACCAGGGTATCTAGTTTACAAAGAAGGATGGCACTTCAAGATCCCCAACATGTGGCTTGTTTGGGAACGAAATGCTTATATTTTTAAATAATTTCTTTGGTTTTAATGGAATGAAGGAAAAGCGGAAGGCAGAGGAGGAACGTTACACAGCGATGATTTTTAAAGACTCTGTTGGGTTTCAGATCAGCTGGGAGGGAAGAGCTGACTTAACCAAACTACATTTTCTAACTGGCCTAGGACATATGAGTGGCCAGGTGGTTGTAGAGGAGTTGTATCTATTTACAGATCATAACTCAGGTCCCAGCTATTCTGTATGAGTTTATCCAGTGTCATTTACAGACACTTTCTGGCACTACATCGTCCTTAATTCTTCGGGAAAGTTTGTGGCTCTGTAAAATTCAAAGTGCATTTTACTGACTTGAGAATCTAGATGTGAAGTCAACTTCTGACCACCCGTCTATGTAGAACAACTTTTACATGAAAGTTATAGATCTATTCAACCTTTTGAAAAAGATATTTTCAAAAGTGAACTCCCTAAAATTCTTATCCAATCCTGTATTGGGTTTTGAAATTAAAATTTCATGTCTGGTTTATGAAGTAGGGTTTATTAGGCAAATGACTAACTAGGGCATTCTGTGGAGAGGCTTTCTCTGAAGTTTTGTAAGAAACGGACCAGACTCTTTGCAGAAGGCAGAGGGCTCGATACTACCATGACTTTGAGATCCCATTGAGTGCCAGAATTCTAAATGGGTACATCTGCTTCTGGGCCTCTCCTAAGAGCCCTCTCCCAGGGCCTGTGCCTTATTTAAAAGGGTGTCTTTGTAATTAAGCAGCCCCTTTTCCTCCTTTTCCCTTTGATCCCGCTTTTTAAGCCCCCCCCCTTTTTTTTTCCATTTGCAAACTACAGGAGTTTCTCACACTCTCCTGCTCCCCATCTTCCCACTGTGCCTTTTCCTTTACCCCAGAAAAATTCCCTGAAGGTCTCAGGATGGTTCACAGTTGTTTTGTTTTGTTGTGATTTGTTTGGGGTAGGGAGGGTGGAATGGGGGGGTTGGTTGTTACCAATGAAGAGGAGTAGAGGATATGTTCCCTCTTGAGAAATGCTTGTGACCAGGTAGCCTCCGCCATGGAGACTGAGCGTTTGGAATGCATGAGAACTGTCTGTTCTTTGGGACTGTCTGGTAGAAATTGTCCTTTGCACCCATTAAGCCCAGCTTAAACCTCCCGAAAGGGTGGAGAGAGGTGTGTGTGGTCGAGGCCAGGCCTTTTAGGACAGTAAATGGGTAAATGTTTCCAAATCTGCTATTACATCACTTCTTTCTTCCATGAATTCAGTGGGTTTAGAGAACTGCTTGACAAGTTAATTAGCTGGGGACTAAACCAATTTGTTTAGAATTGTGATCCATTGATTTCCTGTCCCCAGGAATTTTGGTTGGTGTTTTACTCTGATGTGTTGTCTTTTTTTTTTTTTTTTCTGGACTTTGGTCCAAAATCCAGGGTTTTATACCCAAGTCAAAGGTTAGAATTTGATTCCAGGAGCTAAGGGGATGTTAAGCAGACTGACCAGACTGCATCACTCTCCTGCATGGTGGGTTTCTAACCCTTCTTAACCCAGAAAAAGGAGAGAAATTGCCCCTTCCACACATAACACACATGCGGTCTGAAGATTAGTAAAAAGAGAGAGAGAGAGAGAGACCCATAACAGGTTTCTTTAAAGGAACTAGCTTTAACTATAATTTGATATATAAAAATTTGCTATACTTGGACTTAAAGGAATAAATTAGAATTTGTTTGAATTAATATTTTTTGAAGAAGGAGAGAGCAGTTTTGTCTTTGACAACTCCTTGTTATATGACATGAACATAATGGTCTAAGTCATTCTGATTTGTCTGGGTTGGTGCTATGCCTCAATTGGCTAATCCTTCACCTCTAAGTGCCATATGGGCAGCGGTTCATTTCCTGGCGGCCCCACTTCCCATCCAGCCCCTGGCTTGTGGCTTGGGAAAGCAGCAGAGAATGGTCCAAGGCCTTGGAACCCTGCAGCTGTGCCTGAGACTTGGAGGGGGCTCCTGGTTTCTGGTTTCGGATTACCTCAGCTCTGGCCATTGCCTTAATTTGGGGAATCAACCAGCGGATGCAAGATCTTTTCTCTGCCTCTCCTCCTCTCTGTAAACCTGGCTTTCCAATAAAAATAAATAAATCTTTGAAAAAAAATTCACTCTGGTTTGTCACAATGATGGGCACATTAGCCCCACTACAAATTGCTTGTAGAAGGTAGCTAGTATTACTTTCTGGATAAATCAAACATAATCAATTTTGAATATATCTAATGGTGAGACTCTCTTACAGGTAAAATATTTATTTCCAGTTGTTGTATGACTAAACCTAGGGTGCAGAAAAGTTAATAATGGTAGTGGATGCCATCTTTAATCTAACATTCTCTGATAAGCTTATGGCAAGCCTGTTGACTGAGAGGAACCTGGGACTCCAGACCTGATTCTGACTCATTTTACCACCAGTGGCAAGTGATCACACTGTATGTAAATTGTGGGGGTTGAAAAGGGTGATTTTGAGACAGTTCTCAGAAATGTATGATTCTTCTTAGGCGCATGAATGATCATTAGCAGAATGAGGAGCCATACTCTTTAGGAATACAATTGTGTAATGATTGTGTCTAAAATAGGCTTGACATGTATCCACATGAATGCATCTTGAATTGTATTTCTAAGAATATCCCACTGAAATACTATGAGCCTGTCCAAAAACTTCATCAAGAAGCCCCAAACCCTAACAGATCTCCTTTCATGATTCCTAGTACCTTTCCAGTCCTTTGTTCCCATACTAACCTGGAATTTACATAGTCGTGGTTGTAAGAGTATACAATATCATATTTAAATAAGAACTCAACCAAGGCTTTACTTTCTAAACCACTGTACGGGAATGAATTCAGAGCCTAAGGACTATGAAGCATCCCCTACGTTTTGCTCCTTGAATGGGGAGACAGACTTCATCAACAATCCCTGAGCACTTTCTGTGATTTAAGGATTGTTGGTATATTTGTCCAGCAAGGATATTAATTCCATTCTTTTGAGCTCCTGTTATTCTCCACCCCTACCCCCATTGTTTTTAAGAAAAAAAAAAAAACTAGAGCCAACTGTTTATCTAAATCATTTGCAGTGTTTCTTAAGTCATTGTGGCATGATAACCCATCAATTGCTTGCCAGCGTGTATGGAGTGCAGAACAGAAAGGAGATGCAGAGAGGCACAGATGTGCTTGTTTCATAGCTTTGAAAATAATGTCTAAATTAGCCTAAAACATAGTAAGGGAACTTAGAATTTCAGATAATAAAAGCCATGTAGTTATTGTGGGATAGTCCACATGCAACAGCCTTCCTTTGAGGCCTTCATCATGTAGTAACAAAAGCTCTGCTCCGTAGCTCCTTCAGTTTTCTTGAATAGTGAAGGTATAGTACACAAGAATGTGCAAAATACCAAGTGAAATACTACAACCTTTTTTAAAGATCTTGCGTAGGCATAGGGAAAATACTGATGGAGCTCACTGCTAATATCTCTTTATTAAAATTTGATTAAATTGTCTACGTTTTTGAAAATTTTGATAATATTTTTTCCACTTATATAAAGTGAGTAGATTTCCCATGTGTATGGTACAGATTTAGAAACAGAGAGGGTCTTCCCTGTGTCCCCATCTACTATGCTTCTCCCGATTTATTCCAATTCTGCAGACGTTTCTAAAGGCAATTCTTGGAAAAGCCTACTTTTTAAAAACTCTCTAGGCTTGCCTTCACTTTGGTGAAGTCACTTTCACTTTTCCTCCAACTCCATGAAATGTCATTAGACAGTGTGACTCGAGGCGAGGAGCTGAATTTCTCTGCCCAACCCCTTTCTGATTTGCCATGTGACCAAGGGTAAGTGAATTAGCTCCTCTAAGCTTCGGTTACCCTTCTGGGAAGCAGGGATATTAATACTTCACAGAGGTGTTTAGGTATGCTTCATATTGGGCACATGCTTTGTGATCATTGGATGAAAGGTTTTTGTATGATAGCAAAGCAGACTTATTATAGGGTCCTGAGAAGGTGTTCACTTCTGATGAGCTTTGGTCTCTTAGAACGTACAATGCCCTTTGGTGCCCCATTGCCTTACTGACTATAATTAAGATTGACCCAACATTTGAGCCCAGTGCAGTAGCCTAGCGGTTTTAGTCCTTGCCTTGCACATGCTGGGATTGCATATGGGCACTGGTTCTAATCCCAGCGGCCCCGCTTCCCATCCAGCTCCTTGCCTGTGGCCTAGGAGAGCAGTAGAGGATGACCCAAACCCTTGGAACCCTGCACCCATGTGGGAGACCCAGAGGAGGCTCTGGGTTCCTGGCTTTGGATCTGCTCAGCTCTGGCTGTTGCAGCCGCCTAGGGAGTGAATCATCAGACGGAAGATCTTGCTCTCTGTCTCTCTTCTGTATATCTGACTTTTCCAATAAAATAAAATAAATCTTAAAAAAAAAAGATTGACTGAACATTTATATTACTGGCCTTTTTAATATTTTGAAAACAAATTCATATCATGTGATAAATTGAATCCTTGTTAGAGGATTCTAGCATCTGTCAGGGTGAAGAAAAATAGCTTCAAAAAGAGACATTAGTTGAACCATCCCACAGAACTCAGTGCGTTTGTCAAAGTTCCTCGAAAATATTAAATAGTGAAGCAAATTTCTCTCCCTCCCTCTTCCACTGTGTGTGTGTGTGTGAGTGTGTGTTGAGGAAGAAAATTTTGAGTAATATTTGTGTGTGACACATACTGATGATAGCCAGTAACTGAAACCCAACCAATGTAGTGTTTTTGCACAGCTGTTTTTTATTAATGATAGAATATTTATGCTTGCTGTACAATTCGTGGCTCATTTCCATGTGTATGTCAGAACTTAAATACCCCCCAAAGCAACATTAAGATAACATTAAATATCAATGTGGCCAAGCTAGAAAAGGTGGGTTTGGGCAGGGGGCAGGGGGCGGGGCGTCTTCTTACTCATATTGGTGTGGTGTCAGATCACAATAACTGCCTGCCCCCAGGTTTCAGCGGTGATGCTGCTCTTGTTCTTTCCCTTCTATGTCGCATAGCAAACTTCACATTTTGATCCTTTTGATATGAACAAATGACCTGCCCCCCTCTTTATAATGCAGATGAAACTGATGTATGTGTTTTTTAAGAGCATATTTTCCCTGCACATGCTTCTCATTATCCTAGAGGCCTGGACTCAATCAGTAAAGGAGCAGAGAAACCACATAATTGAAAGGAGAATGACGGTGGTGCATACTTGGAATATTTGTGGGAAGGGGATTGCTGACATCAGAAAATGTAGTGGCCTGAGTGCTAACAGCATTGAAGAGAAATCAGCATTCCGTGTTTCTGTGCATTGAGAATCATTTTTAAGGGGATAAAAATATGGGCCAGGTTTGACATCCTTTTATGAAGTTGCCCTGGAAACTTTGATGAAGGTTGTTATAGAAGAATTCAATTAAAACCTTCCTCATTAGGAAGCTAATTAGTACATCCCTTACTCATTTTGGTGTTTTCAAGGGGCACGGATTTGTATTGAATTAGTGGCATTTTTTCCATGTGATAGAAAACTAAGATAAAATTATTTAGATTGCCTATTTTGGGAGAAATCTAATTTCCTCTTTATTACATTAGATTTTGAGTACCAATTTTTGTTTTGTTTATATAGCGTGATCACGTTTTGGTTTCGTAACCAGTTTTACTTTCTGGATCACAGACTGTAAAACAAAGCATATTAATTTAAGTTTCCCATATGAATTGGAGAAATGCAATGAGTCATAATAAATCATTTCATTAAGGTCGTATTTGATTTTATTTCCTTCTACAATTAGTTTCTCATCTCGTATATATGTGTGTGTCAGAGAGAGAGAGAGAGAGAGATTGATTGAGGGAGGAAAATTGTTTCTTAAAAAGCAGCAATTTTTGGAGCTAAGAAAATACTGATGACCTTCTTTACCCCCAAGAACATTTTGCCTGCCTAAGGCTGCCAGTTAGGCTTCCGTTAGGCAGGGGAATCTGATGAATTTTCAGACCTGACACTTTTAGGCCACCATTTGATGCAGAAAGCTGCACTGGAAACATTGGTGTACATACCTAGCAGGTTCTTTTTGTAGTCCTCCATAATTTGGGGGGGTGGATGACTTCTTGCTCTGGAGTTTTCAGTGCTATGTGCAATAGAATACATGCTTTACAAGTAAATAGATGATACAGGTCTTCTGTGGAACCCCTTTGGAGCAGACAACCATTCTGTAAATATGTTCCTTGTTGCTATTCCCACACTCGTTTGTGTGAGTGGGAAGGTTAGCTGCGTTAGGTGATCAGTGGTTTAACTGATCTCGCCCTTAGTCCTTCTTGAGAAGGCAGGGCCCGGATTCAGTGTTGCAGTGGCAGCTGGATCAAGACAGGTTCCCTGCTCTTGCAAGTCAGCAGCAGGAGGAGGGGTTACCTTCCTCCTTGGGAGAGTGACTCAGGCCCTTCGGTATGAAGATATGAAACGCTGGCTCCCGTCCATGCACCTGCTGGATGCCACACCTACAGTCAGCACCTGAGCCCTACTCAGGCACACAAACCGGACCGAAGACAGATGGGACTTGCCTTCCAGAGGGGTACAGCCAAACAAGGAACTCCCGGCGATGTTAACAAAGTCCCACTGGGAATTACCTTTAACCATCTGTTGCAGCGTGGGCATGGGGAAATGTCTTAGATATGTCCTTGTAGGTGTAGTGTGCTCTCTTCAACAGATTGTTGGGAGTTCTCAGGGTGTTTACTTTCCTCCTGAATTTTTCTTGAGAACTGACCTCTTATAAACTGGACAGGCAGCTCTGTAGAGGGTTTTGTCTTATAACTGAGTACAGGCAGGAAGTCACAAGACCTGAGTCTTGATTCCGGCTGTTCTGGTGAGCAACAGGGAAACTCTGGTCAAATTGGTTTTCATTAACTATCTATTCTGGACTTGAACTTTTCCAGCTAGAAAATGGAATTAATCACTTATTTTAGTATAATGTGCTGCCGAAGCGATCACTAAAATGGAATTAATCACATCTGCCTTTATTTCCGTACAGAGTGGCTGAGAGGAAAACAGAAGTGAAAGAGCTTTTGACTTCATAGAAGAAAGACTGAGAAACTAAAGGTAAAAGTATTATTGCTACTGTTCCATGCCTTTTTTTCCCTTTTCTTCTTCTGCTGCTGCACTAGCAAAATCTTCTGGGATTTTTATTCAAAAATTATTAAGCACATTTTAATGTGTTAATGTTTTCAGTGTTGAGATGGATATAATAGCACTTCAAGAAGTTCATGACCATTGTTTTGGTGCAAACATTTTGAAATTCATGCATCTTTTCATGGTACCCATTTTCTGCTTTCCATCACAAACTTTTTTCTTTTTAAGATTTATTTATTTTTATTGGAAAGGCAGATTTACAGAAAGAAATATCTTCTATCTGCTGGTTCACTCACCAAGTGGCTGGAACTGAGCCAATCTGAATCCAGGAGACAGGAGCTTCTTCTGGGTCTCCCATGCAGGTGCAGGGTCCCAAGGCTTTGGCCCATCCTTTACTTCTTTCTCAGGCTACAAACAGGGAGTTGAATGGGAAGTGGATCAACTGGGACACAAACCTGCACCCATATGGAATCCCGGCGCATACAAGGCAAGAATTTTAGCCACTAGGCTACTGTGCTGGGCCCAACTTTTTTGCTTTTAGAGGGGATGAGGGGGAAGAGAAAGAGGGAAGAGAGAGATGGGGAAGGGGAGGGAGGGAGCAAAGGAAGGAAGGAGGAGGAGAAAGAGAGAGAGAGACAGATGAGAATCTTCTATCCATTGATGATTCACTTCCCAAATGACTGCAACAGCTGGGACTTGGCCAGGCCAAACCAGGAACCTTCATGTGAGTCTGTCATGTGGGTGCCAAGGATCCAGGTATTTTAACTATTTTGTACTGCCTTCCCAGGCACTTTAGTAAGGAGTTGGATGGAAAGTTGGGCTGCTGGGACTTCAGCTGGCACCTTTAGGGGCTGTCTGCATCGCAGGTAAAATACCTGCTATACCACAATACTGGTTCCCACCACCACCACCATTTTCAAATGCCTTCTTGTGTACTTCAAAATCACAAACACAGCTCAGTCCTGTAAGAGCTCATAATGTAACAACTTCTATTTCCATTTTTTTTTTTGCTCAATCCATTTTTCCTCTCCGTGTTGTAGACTTCCATCCTTGGAAAAGTATATTCCCAAGTCTAGATTCAAAGTGTATGGTGGGGGAAGCCATGGAGTAAAATATACATTTTAAGGATGTATTTATTTTTATTGAAAGACAAATTTACAGAGAGGACACACACACACACACACACACTCACACACACACACAGAGATCTACCACCTCCTGGTTCACTCCCCAAGTGACTGAACTGGTCCAAAACCAGGACCCTGGAGCTTCTTCTTGGTCTGCCACATGGGTGCAGGGACCCCAGGAATTGGACCGTAGTCCACTGCTTTCCTAGGCACATTAGCAAGGAGATGGATTGGAAATGATGCGGCTGGGACTCACACCGGCTTCCATATGGGATTCTGGCACCACAGTCAGAGAGACTTAGCGTATTTTGCCACATTGCTAGTCACAACAATTTTTTTTTCTCACTCTTACATTTGAAAAGTGCCTGATCCTTGATACTTTTTTCCCCAGGGTATTGGTCCTTACTTTGTCCCTTGCTTCTGTTTTTATGGACCAGCCAATTCTTAAGACATTAGCTGTCATCTCTTTGCTAGTGATTCCAAAATATATGAGGTATAATCAGCCTCTGTGTGTGCTTTTCATTTGCTGGTCTGCTCCCCCAAAGCCCACCATGGTTAGGGCTGTCCTGAGCCAAAGCCCAAAACTGGGAACTCAAGTCAGGTCTCTCACTCACATGGCTGGTACTTTGCCATCACTGCTACCTTCCCAGGTCTGTAGAGAAGAAAGCTGGGGTCAGAAGCCAGGGCTGGAAATTAGTCTGTGGCATATTGACCTGGGACACAGGAATCCTAACAGCCATGCTAAGCATTAGGGCAAATGTGTATGCCTCAAGCTATTTTTGACGTCAAGATGGTCACAAATTTCTTTGTTATCTTCTCAACACAAAAGTGTTTGTTTATTTTTCTGGTTTTCCTCTGGGGTGCCAGAGTCTTTGTAAGGAGTTCTGTGTTGTCAGAGATGTCTGCTCCTATCTTGGTTTTTCCAGTGGGTTGTAGCTCTCCTGCTTGACTGGAAGTTCCTTAGGGACTGGATTTCCACTTTGGTTTTATTTTTTGCCTCACAGTCTGCCCAGCACAGTATCTAGTTCCAGTAAACATTCAGTAAACGTGTGTGAGAGATATACTATGGTCAGTTGTGTCCTTGAGGTACGTAGAAAGTCCAGTACTATCACAGAGAAGAGAGAATTTTTTACAACATGTATTGGGGGCAGTGGCCAGCATGATAGCTCAACTGGCTAATCTTCTACCTGCAAGTGCTGACATCACATATGGCCACCAGTTTGTGTCCCTGCTGCACCACTTCTCATCCAGCTCTCTGCTTATGGCCTTGGAAAGCAGTAGAAGATGGTGCAATGCTTTGGGATCCTGCAATCCATGTGGGAGACCTGGAAGAAACTCCTGGCTCCTGGCTTTGGAATAGCTCAACTCTAGCCATTGTGACCATTTGGGGAGTGAGCCAGCAGATGAAAGATCTTTCTCTCTGTGTCTTCTTCTTTCTGTAAATCTGCTTTTCCAATAAAAATAAATACATATTTTAAAGAAAAAGAATAGGGGGCAGAGGGAAAATGGGTAATGGTTCCACAAAAGCCTTCAAAGAGAAGGTGGAAAGTAAAGCTTTCTTTTTCTGGGGAGTTCTGGAAAAGAAGGTGAGGAAGGGTAATTCAAAGAGTTCTTGGAAAAATGGAATAAAAAAACAAGTTTATTTTGGTGCAAATTTTAATGAAAACCCATTCTTACGAGGGGTTTTCAAAAAGTTCTTGGACAGTAGACATTGAGAGCTGGGTAACAGGCTGGATGGAGTTCCTCACATTCCATGTTATAATGACTAAGTTCAAGGCTGCCTCTACTCTTCATCCCAGCTTCCTGCTAATGTATACCCCAGGAGATAGCAGCTGTTGGCTCAAAATATGTGGGTCCCTGCTACTTGCAGGAGAGACCGGGACTGAGTTCCTGGCATCTGGCTCCAGCCTGGCTCAACCCGACCTGCTGGGGAAATTTTGGAGGTGAACTGACAGATGGAAGATTTGTATGTCCATCTGTCTGTCTCTGCCTTTCAAATGAATAATAAATAAATGTGTTAAAACATTTTTCTCTAAGTTATGTATAGATTTTAAAAACTTTCAGTAAAATAGACTTTTAACTCTTTTCCTGCCAACCTTTTGAAGTACCCTTGTTTCTCATGTTTGCTCTGTCCAAACTGGACATCTCTGGCCTGTAACAACCCCTAACTTTGGCATAAATTACTTATACTCAGGTCTACACATAAGCCTGTCTATAACGCATTGACCGGTTAAGGCCGATGGCACCTAGTCATAATATTAAACAGGGCTAACCTTAAATGTGTCCACTGAACAGAGGTGAAAAAGAAAGTTACACACACGTGCTTCTTGGTCACGTATGCATGCTTGATTGTATACAGCAAAATGTCCTTAAGGTTATATGGCTGATTGGGATCTGGAAACGAATGTGTTCAGTCGTCAGAAGGAAGCACATCAGGTCACTAGAACTGAATGTCTTCAAGCTGACTGGCAGATCCTTCCAAGGGCAAAAATGAAAGCTGATATAAGCCATTACAGGCCATGAACCTGTTCTCACCCACCTGATGCTTTTACTAATTAGCTTCTTGGCTTGGTGGCAATTTGGGGCAAGTGCATGCAAGCTGGATTCACTGGGGAGTCTGCATTCCGCGCTGTCAGTTTCGCAAGGCCCTGGGATACTAGACTGCTTCTCTTGGCTTCTTTCTTTCCCAGCACCCTGCTCTGCCCTGCTAGAGAAACGGAGGCATGAGAACTTTTATTAAGTGAGGAAATTACATGGGGCTTTGGTGTGTTGCTAGTTTGATTTTATTTATTTATTTATTTATTTATTTATTTTTTTAGTGTGTTATCTAAAGAAATTCATACTCCTTGCCTGATTAATTTTACTTCTGGGATTCTGTCATTAGGAAACAATCTAAGATACTGAAATGGCTAAATCACGAAGATGTTTTTGTAACATTATTTAGACTAGCACAAAATTGGAAGCCATTTGAATGTCTTCATAATTGGAGAATAGGTAAATGAATCTTGATATACTCATTTAATAGACTGTTACATAGCCATTACGGTGTTTGTCTTGAAGTCATGCTACAACCCAAGAGAAAGTGCTTGTGATAAAATGAAATGCAGCATTCAAAATGTCATGCATATTAATATGTAATTGCTTTGTAGAAAAAACAAATATAAAAAAGTAAAGAGCATATTTTATGAATTCTGAAAATTTGGAGACTATGTTGTTTTCAATATGTTACATGTGTATGTGTGCTATTATCATTTACTCATAAAGTAGACTACACATAAAAATGGGTGACATTTCATTGGAGGTACAAATTTGGTGACGTGGGCAGCTTCTAGGTCTATTTTCAAACTTGCCTCCTTTTTCCGCTCAGTCTGGCTTCATGGATGCTTTTCTACTTTTTCTGAGGCAATTGGAAGTGAGTCATGGCACTACTGGTCAAGTCCACCTTTGAAAGGAAAGTGTGTGCTGTGCCTGGGTGGGGGTATAAGCAGAAGGAGCTGGCATTAGGAGCCTCTTTGCTACCACAGTATCTCGCTGCGTGGGTTCTCCAGCCTGGAGTCCCTTTGCTGCCTCTTGACTCATGGAGGGTAATTGCTTCAGGGCGCAGGCGAGTAAGACTAGAGCCCAAATGAACCAAGCCTCTGAGTTAACCATCTCAGAAATGGATCTCTCCCACTCCTGCTCAGTATGATATGCAAATGCAAAGCAAAAGGCCTTGCTTTGGTGCTTAAGATAAAATTTCCAACCTAATCTAGATAGAATAGTGATAGCAGAGAAGCATTGGACCTAGGTTGTTCTTTGTTTGTTTGTTTGTTTTGCTTTAGCCTTTTCTGAAGCTAATACTATATAGTTAAGTAAAAACAGATGCCAAGAAGGTATGATGTTGACAAGATCAAGAACAAGTACCTAAAAACATCGAAGAGCGGAAGTTGGTGCTAACTCTCTGAACTACCTGCACATCTTGACCTAAATAGAAGCTTCTGTCTTATGTCTAGATGAGCACTTTCCTCTTACCTCTTTGTATTTCCCCTTCTGCCATTAGCAGTTTACTTCCCATGTGTCAGGAAAATTGATTATAGCATTAAGCCCGATTGTCAGTGTCTTAAAACCAGTCAATTCAGTCTAGTGCTTATTAAATATCTTCTATGTATAAGGTAATAATGCCAATATATATGTATAATATATGTATGTATAATATAAAATGTGTATGTAAACAATACTAGAATGACTCTTGCCCTAAGAGTTATAAAATCTGTGTTCTGCTCCTGGCTGTCACCCTTCTGAGACCCTGGCATCTTTGTCGATAGCAAGAGTACATGGGAACACTGGTGATTTCCTAAGAATCTTTGTACTTCTGACCTTTGATCTAAAGGACGCTTGCACAAAATACTGAGTTACAAATAAAGTGGGTTTTTTTTTTTTTTGCTTTTTAAAATTTAGATTTTGATTTTATTTGAAGGCAGAGACAGACAGAAGAGTTTTCTACCTGTTGGTGAAGTCTCCAGGTTCCTGGTGCTTGAGCTGTCACCTGCTGCCGCCCAGAGTGTGCCTTAATAGGAAACTGTTCTTGGGAGTTGAGCTGGAACTCAAACGTGCTCTAATATGGGTTGTATGTTGACCAAGCAGCATATTTTAAAAAATGTTTATTTATTTGGAAAAGCATATTTACAGAGAGGGAGAGATAGAGAAAGATTTTCCATCTGCTGGTTCATTCCCCAAAAGGCCATAATGGCTGACCTGAGCTGAGCTGATCTAATGCCAGAAGGCAGGAGCTTCCTCCTTGTCTTCCACACAGGTGCAGGGTCCCAAGGAATTTGGCAATCCTCCAGTGCGTTCCCAGGCCATAAGCAGGGAGCTGGATGGGAAATAGAGTATCTGGGATAAGATGCTGGCACTTGCAGACAGAGGATTAGATAGATGAGTCATCACATCAGCCCCCTAGCAGAATCTTAACTGCTGTACCACATGCTTGCCTCACACACACACACACACACACACACACACACGCATTTTTTAAAAATATTTATTTATCTAAAGGGAATGCACTAGTTCATTCTCCAATTGGCTGCAACGGCTGTGACTAGACCAAGCCAAATACAAGCGCCAGGAGCTCTATCCACATCTCCTAGGAGGTTGTAGGGACCCAAGAACTTCGATCATCTTCTAGTGCTTTTCCGAGCACATTAACAGTGAACTGAATCAAAAGTGGAGCAGATGGGACTTGAACTGGTGTCCACTTGGATCCTTGTGTTGCAGGATGTGGCTTAATCGATTGTGTCAAAACCTTAGAAAGAAAGATTCTTTCTTTCTTTCTTTCGTTCTTTCTTTCTTTCTTTCGTTCTTTCGTTCTTTTTTCTTTCTCTTCCCTTCCTTCCTTCCTTCCTTCCTTCCTTCCTTCCTTCCTTCCTATATCCGAAGGAAATGATATCTGCATATGAGAAAGTGATCTATAGTCCTATATTCATAGCAGCACAATCTACAACACTAAAGACATGGAAACAACCCAGATACCTGTTAAAAGAGGAGTGGATAAAGAAATTGTGGTACATCTATTCCATGGCATGCTACTCAGCCATTAAAAATAATGAAATTCTACCATTTGCAACCAAATGGACACAACTAGAAACCATTATGTTCAGTGAAACAAGTCAATCTGTAAAGGGCAACTAGCATATATACTCTCTGATATAAGGCAACTTTAATGCAAAATTTAAGATCAATAGCCCTTTCAATAGTGTTTTTTGCTACATCTCAAGGGGAGGTTGATATTTTTGTTTTTATTTTCACTCATTCAAAAGTGTGTTTTTCTTATTCATTTCCTCACTGACTCATAGGTCACGCAGCAGTATTGCTTGCTTCAAGAAGGTTTTTTGATTTTCTTTTTCCATTTCTTCTGTGACACATTGGTCATTTAATAGCATGCTATTATCTTCATGTTGTAAATTTTCTATTTTTTCTTTCCGTTGTTGATTTTGTTTTATGGCTTTTCATTTAAGGGGATATATAGTAACTGTGTAATAGAGACTATCACATCCAGATGTGAAGATACAATGCAGTATGCATCTCTACTCTCAAAGATGGATTCCCAATGAAACTGATTAAATATATCTAGACAATAGGACAATAGTAAATCAATGTCCTGAGTTGCAAGGCTGTTGGGAAATATGTTCTCAGTGACACTCCTGGCCACAATATGGATTGGCCTGAGAGGACATGAGGATTGACTGTGGCCTCTTGTTTTCTGTGAAAGGTTATAGGTGTTGTGTGTGCATGCGTGCGGGGGGTGTGTGTGTGTGTGCGCGCATGCATGTGTGTTTGTGTGTGTGTGTGTGTTATGCACAAACGTATGGACAGTTACAAAGAAGACTTCATATTGGCTCCTTTCAAGTGTGAATAAAACTGTGTGAAATCGGTTGATCAAGATTGGACAGAAAAAGTCTTCTGGCCAAAGTGTCTTCATCTGGATTGGTGGAGTGAGAGGTGGGCACAGAATGGCAGGAGGCATTCGATGAAAGAACAGACACAAGATCTTAAGGATAATGCATAAATCTACTTAACGGTGAGAATTTGCTCTGTCCTGGCCACCTGGTGACTTTGCTTCTCTGGAACTTTTTTTGGGGGTAACATCTGGGTCCCCTCTAAGATCTTGGCTTAATCTCCTAGATATACTAGGGATATGACAATGACTGAACATGATTAAAATTTAGCTTGGTCTTGCTGCAGAGTTGTTCTGGAAGAGCTCAATGTGTACACTAAGATGGCGTTTTTAAAATGACAGAACGAGGACTATCCTTTGTTCTCCTATCAGATATCCCGCAGGAGAGTCTGTATGTTCAGGAGACACGAGGTTATTTTATTGATTGAAGATGTCAGACCACTGGCACTGGCGTGATTAACGTTGTGGGCAGACTAAAGTTTATAGAGTGCATACTATTTTAGTTCTCATGCATGAGAGAAGGGATTTTTGCCTTTCATTTTTCTAGCAAATACTTTTTTTTTTTTGCTAATGTGACCTACATGGATGTGAGCTTTTCTGTTTCAGTGAAACATCAGTAACTGAAAAGCTGTTTTCTGAAGTTGATGTATTTTCCTCTTTTAAACAGAAACTGAAAATGACAGGGGTGGGGAAGCAGTCTGTGTCCCATGGACGTAAAGTGATTTGTGTTTTGGAAAGGATACAAGAGAGAAAGAATGAAGTTAAGTGAAGAGGGTAAGACTTTGCCCAAGTAGGTTTCTCCATGAGGAGGTAGGTGTCAGGAGAAAACCAGTCACAAATGGTCTGAAGAATCCAGTCTGTTCTGGAAAAAAAAAATCGTACAGCCTTGGGCCATTTTCTGGTGTTTCACTTCAAAAAATGACAAATGCTTTGTTCAGGATTGTACAATAGAACCAACGGTGGTTATTTACCACAGCTCTGGTAACAGCCCTGCTGCGAGTCCAGTTAAAAGTCATTCCTCTGCTTTGCGATTAGGGGAGACACCCTTTAATAATTTTGCTGCAGATCGGAGGTGATTGTGCTTTGAATGGTGATTATACTTTGGGCCCAAGCAAGCTGGAAAGACAAATTTCCGTGTTTGTTCACTCTATATCTGTTCACTTTGTTTTTGGCAACATTGCAAGGAAATAATGTTAAATTAATCACTGTGTGGTTTTTGTGGATTAAAAAAAAAAAGTGAATGCTTTGGACGTGATCCCAAAATACAGAACTGCATGTGAAGCTTTCCTCTGCACTGCCTTGCTCCGCAAAATGATTCTCTCATGCAGATGAATGCTTTTCCTTTAAGTGATTTGAATGAGTCACAGTTAGGCTGGGGCACAAGAAAGGAACATGGTTCGTGTGCCTCTCACCTAAACACAAACACTTAAGTTTGATAACCATTTGCTTGGACCTGCATGGCTTTTCAGAAGGTCATAGCAGAAATTGTAAATAAGGACAATTTCAAATCCACATCTATGGGGTGTTTGCATCTGGCAGCTATAATGTAAGTCTAATAGTTTCCTTTTGCTCAAGCAAGGGTACAGAGAGAGTTCTGAACAAGCCAGTGTCACTGTGTGCTGCTAAGAGAAGGGCGGCTGCTTTGAGTTAAGGGCAGTCTGTTTTCTGACTGCAGCAAGAATGGCTAGGCCATCAATGAGATGATCAGACTGTAAGCTCCATAAGTTCAACAACTCTATTTTCTGTGTCATTGTAAGCCCTCATTATGTCTAGCATGAGACCGGAAAATTTCTGGAAAAGCCACTACGCAATAAACAGTTAATGACTTGGCTAAAAAGTTATGTTTTCCTTCTGCCCATCCAAGCCTGAGACAGTCAAACAGAGAGCCTCCCTGAATGTTCTTTTCTCTCCCTCTCTCTCTCTCTTTGTATTCAAAACATGCTTTATCCTGACTGCCTTCCCTTCTGGTATGTGGGGCAGGCAGCCTCACTAACCTAACTGGCTACTGACAGCAATTTAAAGGCTGCCTCTCTAAAGCTGACGGTGGTTTCATCATCATCCACCATTGCAAGTGGGCATGGCCGCAGTGTCTCTCTGGGACCGGGAGGCTGGAACACTGCAATCCTTTCCAGCCTCAGACCTGAGCGGTTCCGTCATCTGGGGACTGGCATGGCCTCCTGACTGCATACAGCTGCCGGATAGTGTGGCTGGCTTCTTTCCCGCCTTTGTGGAGATAGACTCTGCCACTGATTTAAAAGCCAAGCATCATGGAAGGAGGAGTCCTTCCCTTGGAAGGGCTGGAATAGTTAACTGCTGGCCATTGGTGGCAAGATCGAAACGACATTTTTATTTCTCCCTCCCTCCCCTTCCTGAACATTTCAGAGAGACCAGTGGTCGAACTCTTGGCGGCGCTTACCCTGATCCTGAGTGTTAGGGCGGTTTCTGGAGCTGCTCATAAGAAAGAATTCCCTCTCCTGAGCAAGGCTTTACGCCTAAAAGAAAGCAGAAATAGGTATGGACCACCGACTGTGTTTGTGTGTGTATTTGCTGGGTGGGGTGGCTGTGCCGGGGAGGGGGCGGTGTATTCTTGCCGGGGCCAGGGTGGCTCAGGGTCTGTATCTCCTGCCAGACAGGATGTGATTCCTGTGAGTGTATCAGAAAGTTCCAGTTTGACCGTCTAAATACAGGTGTCCCAAAAGGTAACTGCGAGGGAGGGAGCAGTGACAAGGGGGCAGGGTGTTCAGCCCCTTGGTATACACTTCCCAGATGTAAATGACAAATGAAATTATGGGTCCAAATCGAACAACTAGAAACAGGCAACAGTGATCATCACCAAGTAACAAAGGAGATGATCTCTCTCCATCTCCCACACACATGTTCTTGGTCTCTCCCTGTGTGATTAAAGGAAAGGGATTAGGGGTTCATGTTTCCGGGGAGATTTGAGCCTGCATAGACTCTCAGAAATAGGGGCCTGGGAGCAGTATTCCAGAATGCTCGTCTCAAATCCTGACACTGGTTAGGTTGATATTTATTGTGACACTTTTCCCCACGATAGCATGCTCATCCTCTAGCAATTACTTAAGATCATCCGAGTGAGAATCTTATAATTGAATGTTCATGTTTTAGTATATAACATGACAGGTTCTGCCCAAAGAATTTTTGAACCTCTGAAGAGTTTGTGCCACCAAAAAGACAGTGCAAAAAGAGCTAGAGAGAGGGAGGGAGGGAGAGAAAGGACAGTCACATACCTGATTTTCAGATGGAAAAATATAAGTCCAGGAGAGACCATGTTGCTTAGGTTACTCCACAAATCATTAGTATGATTAGAATTTGAGTCTTAAGGTGCTCTAATGATGATTAGCTGTTTTACTCAAACCATAAGATCCCTTTAGAGGGGTTGGTGCTGTGATGAGTGGATAGGATATTTATATCCTTACCAAATTTTCAACTTCATGTTGTCAGAGGCATACTACAAATTAAAGAGGTATTTTCCCCTTACCCTCCTCCTGCCCAATAATAACAGACTTTGTCGGTTAATTACTCCTAGTCCTCCTCTTACTAACGAGTCAAAGTAGACATTACCAAAAAGTTTTTAAAAGGTATTTCAGAGTCTTATGAGATGAGAGAAAAATATTTGCCTTAAGGAGGGGTCAGCTCTTTCTGGTGCAAGCTGAGTTTTCTTCACCTTTTATTTTTAAAAAAACATATTTATAAAATATAAACAAATATAAAATTATTTTGGAAAGGTAGAAAGATAGAGTGAGTATCCACCTGCTCATTCACTCCTCCAGTGCCGTGGCAGCCAGGAATGGGCCAAGTCAAAGCCAGGAATTGTGAACTCAATCCAGGTCTCCCTCCTGTGTGGCAGGAATCCAACCACTTGAGCCATCACCATTGCCTCCCATGGTCTGCAGCAACAGGAGGCTGGAGTCAGGAACTGGAGCCAGGTATCAAACTTAGCTACTCTGATGTGGATATCTTAGTCAGTGTCTGAAATCACTAGGCTAAATAGCTACCCCTATTTTAGTTTGTCTTTAGCATTTTAGAGTTCCCATCCCATGCAGCACTGCTTTACAGACTGTGTACAGGGGAATGTTCCCCCACTGTCCTGCACTCACCTCAACACCCATAAAATTGATTTTTAATTTAAATAGAATGCAGAAAGACAAATCCCATAAGAACCTTGGAAAATTGTCCACTCTGATCAGCCCATTTGACTCTTCCAGGTTTCCCCAATCTTTTTAGAAGTTTAAATGGCATATTTAACTGCTGCTAAAAGTGACAGAGGAAACACGGAGCCGTTATGCTTCTGTGTTCCTCCTTAGGTCAATGCTACAGCCTGGAATCCCCAACAATTCATCTGCTAATTCTAGACTGAGTTCTCCATTTCATTCGACACTGGAATCCTCACCCATAAAAGCCTATTTTCTTCCCTTTTAAAGGACTGCTTTATCCATCAACCGAGTGTTAAGCTTCCTGTTTCCCCTTCCCAGGTCAAGGGCAGCCCAAGTGCCCAATTTCTCTCTCTCTTCACAAGGCACCACCAGCAATAGAGATGAGAAATTCTGAAGAACAGCCAAGTGGAGGAACTACAGTATTGCAGCGTCTGTTACAGGAGCAGCTTCGCTATGGCAATCCTAGTGAGAATCGCAATCTTCTTGCCATACACCAGCAGGCTACAGGCAATGGCCCTCCTTTCTCTGGTGCGCCTGGCAACCCAGGCCCTCAGAATGATGTGTTGAGTCCCCAAGAGCACCATCAACAGCTTGTGGCTCACGCTGCTCGACAAGAACCCCAGGGCCAGGAAATCCAGTCTGAAAACTCCATCATGGAGAAACAGCTGTCCCCTCGAATGCAGAATAACGAAGAACTCCCAACCTATGAAGAAGCCAAAGTGCAGTCCCAGTATTTTCGGGGACAACAGCATGCCAGTGTTGGAGCTGCCTTCTATGTCACAGGAGTCAGCAACCAGAAGATGAGGACAGAGGGACGTCCATCAGTTCAGCGGCTCACTCCTGGGAAGATGCACCAGGATGAAGGACTCAGAGATCTGAAGCAAGGCCATGTCCGCTCCTTAAGTGAAAGACTAATGCAGATGTCATTGGCCACCAGTGGAGTTAAGGCCCATCCACCTGTTACCAGTGCTCCCCTCTCCCCATCACAGACCAATGATCTCTACAAGAATCCCACAAGTTCCAGTGAATTCTACAAGGCCCAAGGGCCACCTGTCAACCAACATAGCCTGAAGGGCATGGAACACCGAGGCCCCCCACCAGAGTATCCCTTCAAGGGCATGCCACCCCAATCTGTAGTGTGTAAGCCCCAAGAGCCAGGGCACTTCTATAGTGAGCATCGCCTGAACCAGCCAGGGAGAACAGAGGGGCAACTGATGAGATATCAGCATCCCCCTGAGTATGGAGCAGCCAGGTAAGAGAGTTCACTTCTGTCATTTTCTGACATTATCCCCAACCAACCGCTTCTGCTGTGTGTTGGGAGTCATAGAGAAAGAATGGGCAGGTGTTTGGTATAACCCAACTCTACAAGGTTCATACCTGGTTCATAAATGGCCTACCAATCAGAATTTCAATCCTCTTCAGCCATAATTGGCCCTATGTTAACATTCCCTTGGTTTTGTGTGTTGAGCATAGCCTCAACAACCTAGTAGATGAACAGGACCATGCATCTCAGTTTCAACTGCTACCTGTTGTCCTGTCTTCTAGGATGTTAACGCAAAGCTCAGTGTTTTTCTTCTTGTGAATTAAGACCTTCTTTTAGAAGCAGAAGGAAATTATCTTGGAATGGAATTAGTCAGAAACTTCCCATCGCTTCCATGAATTCCCCTCCATTTTAATGAACAAATCTGTCGCCCATTCATTATAATTACTGTCATTTTTTTTTTTTTTGGAAACCAAACGACCATCCAGATATTACAGTCGAGATAACTATATCTGTGCATGTTGAAAAGGTTACTTACCTTGTACTTCCTTGAAGATCATGAAGTCTGAACTGTTTCATCTTTCTCTTAAGTTTGTTAGTTGCCAGTTACGTTTTCTAACATCTAAGAGAAATTCATCATATCCTAGAAATTTTGGTGAGATGATAAAAATGGAAGGGAAAATATCGCCATGACATCTTCACAAATTGAGTTCCTCTGAAATATACCTAATTAATTATTCAAAGGCCTATGGTCCCATGACTCTACTCACTAGGCTTGATGGTTCCATGATTCTGTTATTGCTCCTGTTACTATTTGGGTCATGTCACTGATGTGTAGCATTTTGGCATATGGGATGGAAAAAAAGCTTAAACTGTGGCCAACAGTGATGTCAGTTACGTGTGGTGTTCCTGCCTTGCGCTCTTGGGTAAGCATGGGTGACCATCAGGTTCAAAGTCCTTTACGTCTTGTGCTCTCCTTGCTCATTTGGGAAAGAACATTTTTGCTTGAGGTTCCTCAGGTGACTCAGGAGCGAAGGCACTCGGTGGGTGGGTGGGTGGAGGCGGGTGAAGGTAAGAAAAGACATCTGATTTCCTGGAGCTTCGTGTTCTCCTCCAGGCCCTGTTTTAGCCAGAGGCAATTCACTTTGGGCACCATTCCTACTGTGGCCAGTTCAGGGTTTTTTTTTTTTTCCTTCCTTTGATCCATGGTGATTTCCTAACCCTTTTCAGCCTTCTCTGGGTAGCCTTCAAAGGGCAGGAGCTTACATTCCGATAAGTGTCTTGGAATGGACAGAGAATTTCAGGTTTACATGAGAGCAAGATCCCTCCATTTCATTTGATTGTGCCCAGTGAAATCACACATCCAAGGTGTCTTGGCCCATTACACTGATTGGGTTCGTGGAAGCCTGAGCAAGCAGGACAAATGACAGTGAAGCTGGAGAGTGGGGAAGCAGTGTTTCACTTTCCCTCTTAGTATGGAAGAATATGTGGGATCCCCTCCCTGGCTGGATTGGTTGATGTCTGTTGCCTGTTGGGAGAGGGGTGTGTAGACTAGGGTGTGGAGTAGAAGCCAAAGCCCTACTTACCTTGGACTGCCTTCCCAGGAAAGATTTTTCAGAACTCATTTACCCTATTGCTTGTGATCTGCAAAGACTTCCACAGTGTTTGAAGCTAGATGGAAAAGCTCTTTGATCTGCCTAGATAAATAACAAGGAGACAAAGGTCCCACCGCCCACCCACCCCCTGCCTCCATACTATATTGATGAAACCAAGCAGAATGATTCAGCTGCATTTGTTTTCGACAAAGGTAGTTTCTTCCTCCTAAGGTATCAGTGGACCACTCTCCATCCTAGAGAGCAACAGAATCCAGACTCACCTGTGCTTTGTTGATCAATGTTTTTACACAGATAAATTTCTTTAGAAAGGGGGAGAGCATAGTGCTTCATGTACTTGATTAATAAGCCAGCCTAAAATGGTGCTGGTTGGATTATGCTTTGGGGGAAGTTTGGCTCTCCCATCAGGCAATTTCTGGCTGTGAAATTTCTGCAGATGTTGAGTTGAGGGAGTGACACCTAATATTGATCAACTACTGGTAATAGGAGGTAGCTAACCTGCTTTCCTGAAGTGTTCTGCTTTTAGGTGATGAGACACTTTCCCCCGTCTCCTTTCTCCTCTTCTTCTGTCCTCCTTTAATCAACTAACCACTGAAATGTACTTCAAATAGTTCACGCAAAATGGAACTGAAAGATAAGTGTATTTTGGTGTAATTGTACGTTTTAAAAATATCTTTTTATTTGAGAGGCAGAGATAAAAAGATGGTCAAACAGTAAGAGATTTCCCATGTGCTGCTTTAGCCCCCAAATGTCTACAGCCACCGGAGTCGGGCCAAGGTAAAGCCAGGAGACAGGAACTCAGTCAGAGTCTTCAATGTGGGTGCCAGGAGCACAAATACTTGAGCTACCACCTATTGGGTCCCAGTTATGCTTTAACAGGGAGCTGGGACTCGAACTCATGCACTTTGTGAGTGTCCCTACAACAGCTTAACTGCTTTGGTAAATGCCGTTACTGGTGCAGAAATTGAAATTCATGAACAGTTTTTTTTTGTACTAGGCATTTTCTATGAAATTTTAGGAAATCTCTCCTATAGCTTGTGGAGTATCTTTCCAAGTAACTGCTGCTAGCTTCAGATAGCTCTAGTTTTTAATCAGCAGTTTAGAGATCAGGATGAAAAGCAAGTTTTTAAATAAATTGCAGTTAAAAATAAAGAAATGGCTTGCTTTCAGAGGTGCAGTGAAATGTTGAAAATTTGCTGTTAAAATGAGCACAACGTTGAAAACAATCCGTTGATTACTTCATCTTCAGTATGCCTTCCTTCCAACTTAAAATAAATAAATAAATAAATATCTTGGGTGCCCAGAACTGCACAAGGAAAGCAGGGCCAAACCATTTGAAGACTTTTTAAATTTCTGAATTTTTGTCTTCCTAAGTGCCGAGCTTTTTCTGCATGCTGGGTTTATGCATTTATCAAGTGCTTTTAAAAGTTAAATCATTTCTGTTTACAAAGCAGCCACCTCCTTTCAATTGTTGAAATCCTGCCCAGATCTGAGGTTTCTTGAAATCCTTGTGCAGTGGCCTCTGAGGGGGCCTGACTCTAGTTCACAGCCGAGCTGGTTGTGCAAGAGAAACCATCGGGCGTTTGCAGCCACTCTAGCATTTGTAGATTCTCCCTCGCCGAGCCTGCGCGGGTACAGTTTTTGTGGGCAGCAGAACTTTTCTGGTGAGGAGAAACGGAGTTCCAGGCTGTCGGTGGTGTCTTCTCTGGTGAGTGAGTGAGTGAGAGAGAGAGAGAGAGAGTGTGTGTGTGTGTGTGTGTGCACACACAGGCTTGCACACCAGCAGGCAAGGGAAGTACAATGTGTGCACCCACACATGTGAGGCAGGGAAACCCAAGGGCTCCAAGTCTGGGAGGTGACAGGGGTGGAAGGTGCTGTGTCAGCTGGGAGCTTTTACTTTCCCTTTGGGTCTCTGGCAGCTGGGAGGACTGTGACTTTCTTCCCGGGCCTCTGCACACGTGTGGGACACCATTGGCCCAGATCGTCTTAGGCAGGAAGGAGCAGGATGAAGGGAGGGAAGGGCCAGGGAGGTCGGTCAGGGCTTCCTGGGGACACGTGATCCTATTGTCTGTTGGTGACTTGTGCTTCCTGGTTAATGTGTCCTCGGGGAGCAGTCCAGCCGCTTTGTGGTTGGAAGGACACAGAGTGAGTGGCTCACCTGACGGGTGCTTTTCTTAGGAGCTTTGCCGTTCCGATGATTCAGTCTTGGGCAGTTTGACTTCCCGTCATCTCCCCTGTCATTCTCTCCTACCTCCGTTTTCCCTGAGTCCCCTCTTCTGTATTCTGTGTTGATAGTGTCCTGTTTGTTGTCCTGGGCGAAGTGGTGGAGCCCAGGCAGCGTTCACTTCGGGCCCTTGTCCTTTTCTGCAACTGCCCAGGCCTTCACTTAGTTGTCAGTCTGTTAGTGACATATGGCCTTGGTTGTCCCAATGTCTCAGTGCATTGAGATCTGCTTCCTCTTCCAGCCCCAGGGAACTGCCTGGCAGCTGCCTGCCAGTTTATCTTGGTCCTGGGCTTTTCTGATTCTGGAGATCTCCTTGCAAATCTTTGTGGTCTGCTCTTTCCTGAGGCTGGAGAGAAGCCATATGCTGTGGGGGCATGGGGGGTGCCTTCCAGATGCGGCAGAAGCTGTTTGCCTGTTGAGGCCCAGGGGAGCTTTTGTGGGGGAAATCAGGTTGAGAACTGGGCATTCAGTCTTCAAAGAAAAATAACTAGTAGATCTTGGGCTTCAAAGTCCTGGGAAAGAATATGGAAATCCAGCTAGTGACTTTTTCTCTTCCATTTTGAGAGCTGGCATGAGCAAGCTGGAAGTTAAGCCCCTCTTTTCTGCAAAAGTTCCCAGCAAATCCTAGGATATTTTCTTTCCATTCTAGAGATGTGTAGATGTTTTAGTAGCTTTAAAATAAAAAGGAGAGAGAGAGAGAGCACATTTCCCACTTTCACCTGTGAGGAGTCTGAAGCTCCACAGCCTGGGCAATGGAAACTTCACGAATCAGTTTATGAACAGCTCCTGGGCTTTTAATGAGACGAGTGTTTTGAGAACTTGGAGAGAAAGATTAGGGATAGTGGCAGCTTTCCAGTTGTAATCATGAGTACCATATAAATTCCTCTGGGCCCTAGTAGCTTGTATGACCGCTTCAGTATTTGGTCATTATTTATAGTGACACATGAATGAAATTAAAAGAATGTAGGCACACCAAAAACATAGAAGGATTTAAGGGACAAGAAGTCAGGGTTTGTGCAGCTTTTGAGAGCTCTTGTGAATGTATAATTTGCTGCATATCCATGAGCACATGTTTGGAATGATCACAGATACAGGAAGTCCTTAGGGTGATGCTGTCTTTTAGGGGCATGTAAATGAAAAATAATGGTAGCAGGAGTCTCTCTCTCGCTCGCTCTCTCTCTCTCACACTGTGTGTGGGGCATGTGCTTTAGTGTCTGGATTGCCAGTTAAAAGTTAATTGCTCCTCATGATTTGTCCCAGTTCCACAAGGGATTTTATGCAATTTAATACAAAAATTACACAGCTATCCTGTAAGTGAAAATCGCTAACAAGGTCAACTCAATGGGGAGATAGATAAGACTCATGTAATTCTTCCTGAGTTAAAAAACAAAACAAAACAAACAAAAAAAAAGAAAACGAGAAGATGCTGATACTTTTTGCAATTTATTTGCAACCTCAGGAACAAAACAGGCTCCTGCAGATTAAGAAACCTGAGCAAGGTTAAATAGTTGGTAAGCAACAGGAGAAGTCTCCAGACTTTCTCAGTTGGGATCCAAATCCCATGCTCTTAGCCATCTGTCTTTCCTGGATTGAGAAATATCAACTGTAGGACAAGTGGCCACAGGACGTGGGGAGCATATGAGGTTAGTTGGGCATAGACTGGGGGTGAGCAAGCTTTTTGTCTTCAGGGAATACTGACAGATGTTCCTGATAGCGGCGATGGAGGGGGTAATGCACCTGCCTGCATGGATTGCTAATGGCTGGTAGTCATTAGGTAAGAGTTATTTGTACCTAGATAATAGCAACCGACCTTATAATTAAGGACAAAAATGGGAGCCGCACTAAGTGATGTAACCAAAGTGCTCCTCCTAGAAATGTCCTGAAGCAGTGGGCTAGGAATCTGAACATCAGTGCATAGAAATCAATGTACTTTGGCAGGGGAAACAAGCCAGAAAATGGGAATTAAGAAAGAAGTATTATACTTTGATACTGCTAGTAATGCACTCTTCGTATTTGGAAGATAAGCCTCAGTTTTCTCCTGTCCAGTGTCAGAGTTGGACTAAGTCTTTCTTTTTTTAAAAAACTTTATTTATTTTTATTACGAAGTCAGATATACATAGAGAAGGAGAGACAGATCTTCTGTCCGATGATTCACTCCCCAAGTGAGCCGCAACGGCCGGTGCTGCGCCGGTGCGGCGCTGGGAACCAGGAACCTCTTCTGGGTCTCCCATGTGGGTGCAGGGTCCCAACACTTTGGGTCGTCCTCGACTGCTTTCCCAGGCCACAAGCAGGGAACTGGATGGGAAGTAGAGCTGCCGGGATTAGAACCAGTGCCCATATGGGATCCTGGGTACATTCAAGGCGAGGACTTTAGCCGCTAGGCCACGCTGCCGGGCCCTAAGTCCATCTTTTTTTTTGGACTAAGTCTTTTTGATGGTCTTTCTAGAATTTAGATTTTTGTGATGTAGTACATAAAAAATAATATGGTGTGGCCAGTAGCCGTCTCTGACTTGATATTGTTGTTGGGTGAACCATTGAAGTGAACAATAATTATTTGTCTCTAATTTAATAAGTACCCACATATTGTCAAGTAAGTAATTTTTTTGACAAAATATCTTAGGGAGTTACAAATAGCAAGTTGATACTTTTGGGGGACGGGGGCTTCTGTTGTTCCCTTCTGTGCAACTGAACCCTATTTCCTGAGTTTGAATCTTTATGTGTACTAGGTCACTTACATAATGTCAGAAAAGATTTAACTTAAAACAGTGACATGAAAATTGCCCCATAGAAAAATCACTTAAAATGCACAGACGTGAGCAATGAGAGCAAAGACGTGCATCACTTAGGTTTTCGTAATGCCTGGAGCTTATCCGTCATGGAATCACATTTCTGTCTGTCCGGCAGTCTCCTGGCGGGGTTGGAGAAGTCTTTGCAGAGATTGTATCGCTCTGCCAGCTCATTTTGTAGATGTCTAAAGGCACTAAAAGCCTCCTCAGGTCACTTGCTTGCGTTATTCTCTCTCAGTGTCTTGAGAGAAATTGGCCTAAGCCCACCCTTCTTGTTTTGCAGGCCGGCACAGGACATCTCGTTGCCTCTGTCAGCCAGGAACTCTCAGCCTCACAGCCCTACTTCTTCGCTGACGTCCGGCGGTTCCTTGCCTTTGCTGCAGTCTCCGCCATTGACCAGATTGTCTCCTGCTCAACTTCCCCTGGTGCCAAGCCAAGGAGATCACCCAGCTCACCTGCCTCGACCACAGCAGCACTTTCTTCCTAATCAGGCTCACCAAGGGGATCACTTTCGTCTTCCCCAGCCTGGCCTGAGTCAGCAACAGCAGCAACAGCAGCAACAGCAGTCGCACCATCACCACCATCACCAGCAGCCGCCGCAGCCAGGAGACACCTATTCAGCCATGCCTCGAGCTCAGCAGTCTGCTTCCTACCAGCCCATGCCGGCAGACCCCTTTGCTATTGTTTCCAGAGCCCAGCAGATGGTGGAGATCCTCTCCGATGAGAATCGCAACCTGCGGCAGGAGTTGGAAGGGTGTTACGAGAAGGTGGCAAGACTGCAGAAGGTGAGGATTCTCTTGGGGTGCTAGCTTGTCTTATTCATGGGATGTGTTTAATATGCGTACAAAGATCTCTGCCTGTGGGTGCCTGTGTTACTTATAGGCCAATCTTTGGGATTCTTATATCTCCAGGTTAGGTATGATTCAAACATTGGAAAATGTCTCCCGCCTGCTTAGGAGAAGTAACATTTTACAATTAGGAAACACGAAAAATTCATTACCCATTTTCTCAGTATAGCCCAAAGGAAAATTTAACACACTGTTCTAGAATCCCAAAAGGTAGGGGTACTTTTCTCTGAGATCATCAAGCATACTGGTGATGCCTATGAAGGTGGTGGACTTGCTAGTATTTTAAGTCTTTTTGTCTTCATTATAGTTCCTGAAATACGAATTTGAATCTAAATATAAACCGTATTTCCTAAAACAATCACGTGAGTTGAAATTAGAGCGTATGGTGTCTGGTTCTGGAGAAAGCATACTTTCCTGTTCTCACAGTAACTTCTTTTCACCCCCCACCCTTTTTTTTTTTTTAACTTTTTTTTCCTCTGGTCCTTCCCTGAAGCTCAGACTTAACATCTGCTTTCTTGGTGTGTGGGGTGTGGGATTAGCATCACAGCTGGATGACAGGTGACAGCCCTAGGCTGAGTGTGTGTCCCCAGTTCACATTCTTCCCTGGACCCCTACTGTCTCATGCAGCTGGGACTTTAGCTCTTGAGTGCTCCAAGCTAGGAACCTTAGTTCTGAGCTTTCAGTGCCTCTTGGTGAATACAGAATTATGACTTGGACGGCCTTATTGAGGCTTTTTGTCATCGTGGAGCTCATGTGGTTTGATCATCCTACAGAGTGGCCTGTTGAGGGAGGAAAGGGAGATGGTAGAGGAGGAGGGAGGGGAAAGAAGCTGCCTTGCCTTGTTCAACAGCTGTCTGTAGGATACACCAGGAGTGGAAATTTCAGGGGCCTCAGTGAAGCTGAAAATTTGTGAGCGCTGGCTCTGGTTGCTGTAGGAAAGGAAGGATTAGCCTCAGTTATGTCAGAATGCTCTCCTTCCCGTAGTTTCCTTAAATCTGCATGGAGGTGGGTGGGTGGGGTCAAATGAAAGCTGTTTCTCCCTGGCTTTGCACTAACTCTCCGTCCCCCATGCCACCAATCACATTGGCACAGTAAGTTATGTGTATCCAGGCATCAAAGCAGTGTAGCTTATTAGGTCCATTGCTGACAGCCACCTCAAACTCTCTGTGAAGCGGTGCTGACCCATCTTTGCAGTTGCCGAATGTTGAGCCACATTGCCTAAATTTCTCTTTGCCCAAGGGTATGTGATGCTTTTTTTTTTTCTTTTTGAGGAAAAGCAAGGAGATTGGAGAGGGAGGGGGTATATAAAAAAAAAAAGGAATAGGAGTTTTGTCATTGTTCATTGCCTAGGATTGAGAAAGCTGCCTTTAGTAAGTGTAGTTAACACAGCTTGAGTGTTGGGGGTGGCAGGGCGGGTGTCGTACCAGTGTTGAAATGGAGTAGAGGGACATGTGGAGTAGAAGAAATGGGAAGTAAGGAGAATAAGGTAGACTGCAGGTGGTGCTGGAAAAATGGGAAGGTTGAAGGTCACAATGGGAACAGTAGACAGAATAGTCTAGAAACCTGCCGGCAGTGCCCCATCATCACACAGACCACCACCAGCCAGCCCAAGCCAGGATGTATGCTCTGTGAGTTCTTCTCTTGGAAGGTCTTATTGACAGATGTGCCACTCATCTTGGGGAGGGTAAGGTACCCCAACAGCAGTTCCAGGCAGGGTTGGTTTAAATCTGTAAATAGCAGTCTGAATACCTTGCGTGAAGGGAATGGTTTCCAGGCATGGCCTGTGGTGGGGAGCTGGAAAACCTCCCTGTTTGAAAGCAGCCCAGAGTACACCAACACCAAGCCTGCTCTTTCAAATGGAAATGTTTATTTTCTCTACCCAGCACTTGAATTTTGTGCAAAAATTTCATCAGGCACAGGCCTTGCCGATCTTGTCTCTAAATGCCATTCACCAGTTTTCACCTTCTGTGCTGCTATCTTGGTGCCATCTGCAAGGAGAAAAACACTTTCAAGCCTGCTCTTTTCTGTGGTTGAAGCCTCATTTGTTTGCAGGCAGCCTTGTCTCAGGCAGAATATTGGCGAAGGCAGCAGGTTGAATCTGAGGTGTTTGGTAACCTAACCTTTCGCCCAGCGTCCCACTGGGGGCCTGGTCTTTTTCCACAAAATGCACCCTAGGCTTTGTTCCTGAGGATAGTGGAAAATTGAGAAGGAATACAGCATGGTTGCAAGAGTCAAATTTAACTTGGAAGTTGCTTAATACCCATGGGATTTATTTGTTTTATACAAATGATATGCAAATACCGCTGGTTATTTTATGTGCAGTGGGGCTATACTGGTTACAGGAATATTTTATTTTCTTCCTGATTCTGGGTTATTCAGGGCAAGATTCTTTGTGATTTTTTTTTCATTTTATGAGATTTGTAAGGATGTCATAAAATACAGCTCCAATCATGAATTTATGTCCAAAAATCTGTACTGGTTTCCCAATGACTGCGGGATAAAGTCCAAATGCCTAGCATTAAAACCCTTTTTATGATCTGACTCCAATCTCTTTGCAACCGTATCTTGCCAACTTCCCTTCGTGTCCCCCACTGTGTCCAGCCAAATTAGACTGGGAATACATCTTGCTCACTCAGAATAGAATATGCTTCCCCTCACCTCTGCTCATTGAAATCTGACCCTGTCTCTAAATGGCACCTCCTCCCAGAAACTGTTCTGCTCCCTCCCCCTTCTCCCTACCAGGAATAACTTCTTCCTTCTATGTGTTTGATAACACCACTACCTTTCTTTAAAGACCATTGTATTAAGCCTTATATTCTTTCACTTGACTTGACTTAAGACAACGATGGTGTTTTTCATCCATATTTATACACCCTCCAGTGCCTTGTAGAGTTGATATAAGCATTTGGCTCCTGATTAAACGTCAAGTGGAATTGAACTTACACCATAAGGCTCAAGCTTAGCATTGTTAGGGTGTATTTCTGCCACTGACTTGATTTTGGGCAAAAATAATTTTCCCGCTTTCTAAAGTTTTTTAATTATTGTTATTATTATTTGAAATTTAGAGTTAGAAAGAAAGAGAGGGAGAGATCTTCCATCCAGTGGTTCTCTCCCCAAATGGCCATGGAGGCTGGAGCTGAGACAATCAGGAGCCAGAAGTCAGGAGCTTCTTCTGGGTCTCCCGTATGGGTGCAGGGGTCCAAAGCTTTGGGCTGTTCTCTGCTGTTTTCCCAAGCCACAGGCAGGGAGATGAATCAGAAGTGCAGCAGCCGGGATTCTAACTGACAGCCATATGGGATGCTGGTGTAGCAGTTGGAGGTTTAGCCTGCTAGCCTTGGTGCTGGCCCTGGCAATTTTCTCCCTGCCAAGTTATCCCTTTGAATGCACTGGGATAAAGTTATGTACATACTATATATACATTATTATTAAGAAATTAAGATTTATAACCATATTTATGAAATTTTATCTTACCACCTTCTCCTAAGGCAGAAAGTATATTTCTTTTAGCCCGAGGCAACTTAATAATGCCATGAGTTAACTACTGATTTTATGGTTGACTTTGGAAGACCTGCTTTGAAACTGACCGTGTTGTATTTGTCTCCTGGCCATCTGTAAGCCCTGAAGGAAGCTGTTGCCAAAGTTTTGCATATATACTTTGAGACCCTCTTTCCTCATTAGCTTCCTCCTATTACCACTGTTCCCTTTTCTTGTTCAGGTGGAGACTGAAATCCAGCGTGTCTCGGAGGCCTACGAGAACCTGGTGAAATCATCCTCTAAGAGAGAGGCCTTGGAGAAAGCTATGAGAAACAAGCTGGAAGGCGAGATTCGAAGGATGCATGACTTCAACAGGGATCTGAGAGGTGAGGGGGTTGAGGGCCTTGTGCTCCTGCTGCCGGAACAGCTGCAGGCTGGTAAAAGCAAAGGCTGAGGAGGATTTGGCTTTGGGGCTCTCCAGCTCACTGGTTTGGTCGGTCAAGTGCAGGTCCCATGCCAGATTAAGTTTGGGTGACTGTCATAGTACTTGGTCTCAAGCTTGTTTAATCAAAGTAGGGATATGTGCCTGACTAGCCTTCAGAGTCAGGAGCTGATGTGTTAGTCAGGCAGGTTCTCTTTGGGGACTTCTGGACCCACATGGCTCACCCCCACAATTGATGAGGCTTCTTTTCCTTTGAAATGATTGATACATTCATGCATTTTGGCTTTGCAAGCTTGAAATGATGGTGTCCTCTTCTTACTTCTGGAGTACATTCCCTCCCTATGTTTACCTTCACCTGACGACACTGGAGATAATGAAAATATTTCTTTTTTTAAAAAAAAATATTTTTAAACTGAAAGACAAGGGCAGAGAGAAGAGACAGAGAGAAAGATCTTCCATATGCTGATTCACTTCCTAAATGTGCTTAACAGACAGTATTGGGTCTCCCACATGGCTGGTAGGGGCCTGAGCATTCAGGCTGTCATCTGCTGCCTTCTCAGGCGCATTAGCAGGAACCTGGCTCAGAAGTAGAGCAGCCAAGACTTGAATCGGCACCCATATGACAACCTGTTATCACAGGCAATGGCTTAACCTGCTGCATCATATGGAGCTGAACCTGGAAGCCAGAAACTTACTACAGTTTTCCCAACTGACTGACAGGGATACTCATTCTTGTGCCAATCCGTGCTGCCTCCTAGTGTCTGCACTAGCAGGAAGTTGGGATTGAAAGCAGAGTTGGGGGACCAATGTGGTAGTAGCCTAGCGGGTAAAGTCCTTGTCTTGAATGCACCAGTATCCCATATGGGTGCCAGTTCATGTCCTGGAGGCCTTGCTTCCCATCCAACTCCCTGGTTATGGCCTGAAAGGGCAGTCGAGGATGACCCAAAGCCTTGGAAGCCTGCGCCCATTTGGGAGACCCAAAAGAGGCTCCAGGCTCCTGACTTTGGATCGGCTTATCTCAGGCCATGGCAGCCTCTTGGGGAGTGAACCAGTGGATGGAAGATTTACTCTGTCCCTCCTCCTCTCTGTGTATCTGACTTTCCAATAAAAATAAATAACTCTTAAAAAAAAAAAAACCCCACAAGATACAGTTGGTTCACAGGCCCAAGGGATCTGTCTTATTAAAAAAATAAAAGAAAGAAAAAAAAAGAAAAGAGAGCTGGGACTCAAACTCAGGCACAGCAAGATGCTATATAGGCATTTTGACTACTAGGCCAAGCACCTACTCTAGCACTTAGATTTTTTGGTTTGTTTTTAGTGCACCTAAAGTTTTTGCAATAAACAATGAAAGCGTTGAAGTACTGGCTTCATCTTTTCTGCCCTGGGCTAAAAGGGCCTTGGGATTCACATTTGCAAACTTCTGTCTGTGTGTCTTTGTCACCCATTTCTACTTAACAAGAAGCAGGCTTTTTTTTTTTTTTTTTTTTTTTTTTTTGCCAAAGGTCAGTATTTAGAAGGCAAACAGCTTGTGCTTGGAATTTTTAATTTGGGGCCCTGTTGATTGTCTCCAAATTCCACAGAGCGACTGGAGACTGCCAACAAGCAACTTGCAGAGAAGGAGTATGAGGGGTCAGAGGATACCAGGAAAACCATCTCTCAGCTCTTCGCCAAAAGTAAGTGAAAGCCTCAGGTGCAGGTATGGATGGGAACATGGTGTGGAAAGGTCACGTCGTTCTTTTTCAACGTCCTAGTTGAATGAATGTGAATGTTACCTGGGGATTCTTTTTTCTTGTTCAGGCATGAAATTGGAAGGTTCTGTTCTTTTCCTCTTAGGCCAGGAAGGTTGCTTGATGATATGCAATACTTATTCAACAAATGTTCATCTAGTGACTTCAAATGACTTCTATACTCAACCAGAGAGGCCCAAGAGAGCCTGGCTGGGGTTGTGGTTAGTGGAGGAAAGGCCTATGAGATCGCTGAATGTAGGCGAGATTTTCTTAGTGGGGTCTCCCTGTTGCCTCTCACAGTGATGAGATGAGCATACTGGATATTTGAGTGATGTTTGGAATGCCTAGCAAGCACCTGGGTCTCCCCGAGTGATACAGCTGGTAGTATCATATATTGGTAGATTGCAAAGGCAGCTAGAGGGAGCCACTCCTAAGGCCTCAACTAGCTGCACAGTTAGAGGGTGTGGGGCAGAGCAGGCTGTGTCTCACTCATAATAATGTTTTCTTTGTGTGGAAATATTCTTGGGACAAGGACAAGGAATTAATCCTCTTCTTTATCAGTCCCTAGCGGACTCCACCCAGCTAGACAATGCCCAGTGCTTTCTGATTGACATAATAAAACCACCATTAAAAACTTCATAGAGGATTGAGTCCACAGGAAGAATTGGTTGGGGTTGGGGTGGGGGTGGGGACACAGATGAACTGTCCTCCTTTCTGTGAAGCCTATGGTTGGTTACCCCACCCGCAGCCCCTCTCCATGCAGCTGTGGCTGTGGTCATGTTTGGTGGGGACTTGTCAGTCTCTACCATCTTTGCTGGGCCTCCAGATGACCCTTTCAAGTCATTCCACACAGCCTCCAGTCAGCTTTTACAAGTTTGTTTGATCTTCACTTACAATACACCCCTCCCTTCCTGGGTTGCTCTGTTGTGCTCTGCCTTCAAAATGGGTTCTTTTTTTTTTTTTTTTTTTTCTTCTCCTTCTTTCCCTTGAGCCTCCAGCTCCTTTGTCTTAGAGCTAGGAATGTCGTTTTTCTGGTGTCCTCAGCGCCTGGTGTGAATTGTTCTGAAGTTGCTTTTGTGGTGTCACAGTTACCCTGGAAGCTAGTTTGTTGGCAAAAAGGGGGTGGCAGCTTCCTAGAGAAATACAAAACCTGTGCTTGTTGCCCTGGCTGTGTGGACTTGTGCTGCTATGGCAGGTGGGCTCGGAGTGCCACTGGGGGTCTGTAAGAAGTGGTAGTGTAACAGGGCGGACTACATGAACAGCAAGGCAAATGATTGCCAGAAGATTCTAGAATTAGGCAAGGAAGAGATCATGACTTTTGGCTTCTTTAATTATGTTTACCCTGTGTGGTTGGGACTGTGGCAGGAGAAAAGATATCTTTCTTGAATGTCTCCCTGGTTCAGTTCTGTTTCCTTCTTTCTCTCTTTCTCTCTTTCTTTCTCTTTTCTTTCACAGTTATGGGATCCTGTGCAAGTTAGTTAAGTTCTCCAGGTCCCCATTTTCTCATACACAAAATGGAGAAGACAATAATACCTTTCTTGGTTTGACCGTCTGAGGATTAAGTTAATTCAATGCCTGGTATGCAATAAGTATTCAACAAATGTTCATTTCTTTCCAAGGTACACTTGAATAGATACATAAAGTCACAAGGCAAGGCTCCTCTGTTGAATTTTCTCCTACAAACTTGAAGTTCAAGTTGTCGAGAGGAATGGCCTCTGATCTTAAAATCCACATCAAAACTATTCATTAGAGTTTCTGGTATGAGGTCTGTCCCACCTAGTTAAGATAGAAGGCATGGGACATGTGTTCATGGTCCATTTGTTGCTGTAATGTAATTCTGGATTCAGACATAGACTTGATAATTTCATAAAGTGGGTGAGTCTCAACCTGCTCATTCTAAAAACAGATTCTGTATTCAGAATCTGTCACATCACAATGAAAGACATATTTTGAAGGTACGGATTTTCTTTCATTATTGATCATGGTGATGATGATTATCTTGATGTAGTAATTTCTTTTGGTGTTTGTGCTTTCTAATGTTTCTTTCATTGAAACAAATATGTTATCTCACTTGAGCCTTAAAAACCGTTACAAATTTAAATAGGCTATTTTTACCTGCATTTTAACTCTGCTGCATTTTTATTGTAATTCCCAGTTTTGTACTTATATTGCCCATCTCTTTTCTTGCATGCTGTCCATTTTTTTTATTAAAGCATTCAGCATATTAATTGTAGTTGTTTTTCAATTGAGACTGATAATTTCACTTTGATGTTCTGTGTATTCACTGGTACACCCTATCATTTTTGTTATTGTTGAATGGCAGACACAAATGTCAGGAGCCGGGGAAGGAACTGTAATAAATAGGTCTTTAGTGATTTGACGGTAAGGTGTGGGAGGAAGAGAAACTTCCTTCAGTGTTATGATTAGGTCCCCCCCGTCTTTCAGTAAGCTCATTTCACTGGACTGTGAAATTCACAAGTGCTTCTGCTTTTTTTTCTAAGATACATTTATTTATTTGAAAGGTAGAATGAGTTATAGAGAGAAGGAGAGAGAGAACTTACACTCACTGGTTCACTCCTCCCACAGGGCCTCAAAGGCTGGGGATAGGCCAGACCAAAGCCAGGAGCCGGGAAATCTGCTTGGATCTCCCACATGGGTTACAGGGCCCCAAGTACTTGGGCAGTCCTTTGCTGACTTCCCAGGCACGATAACAGAAAGAAGGTTTGGAAACAAGAGTAGCTGAGATCTGCAACCATGTAACCTGTGCTCCTCAGTGCCTGCCTCCTAGTTTTTCTTTTTCACATCCCTTTAGGTTCAAGGATGTTAGAGAAGGCTGAAGTCGGTGGAGGGGGGAGGGAAGGAGGCATTTTCTCATATAGAGTGCTAGAACCGCCTAGAGTAGGATACTTCCCTTTTTCCAGGTTGGCTGGACTTTGTGTGGAAAAAAAAAAAAAACACCGATAATTTAGGCTCTGATTAAATAGTTTATCTTGTGGGCAAGCCTTCTTAAGAAGAACAGGATGCTTTGGCATGTTTCATAACAGTTACCTCTTGCCTGCCTCTGCTGAGGACACTGGGGGATATTTCTCTGATCTTTTACTGTGAGAACCTGGCCAAGCTCCTGAAGTTAAAACTAACACAAAAGTGTGGGAGCTTCCTTGTGGCCAAGTCTCCTGGAGTACTCAGGGAGGCTTTGTGGGCCGCAGGTCTGCAGCCGCTCATTAATTATATAATGCAACTTTTCCCGCCCTGCCTGTGATTCCCTTGGAAATTTTTTGTATAGGGGCTTGTCCTCCAAGTTGTGATTCTCTGTATCCATCTCTCCAATTTTGAGGGCAGCAGTGTGCCCTCCTTTTGGTCTTCCTTCTTCAGATCTAAGAAGAGTCACTGAATTTTCAGTTTGTTTAGCTTTTGGATTGTTAGGAGGAATTGGAAGTTTTAACCGGCTAATGAAATGACATTTTTAGCTCTGTTTAATGTACTGTCATGAGAAAACAATGCGAGAAAATTCCCTGGGCTGCTCTTCTGGTGTGTGTGTGTGTGTGTGTGTGTGTGTGTGTGAGTGCGCACGCGTGCGTGCATGTGCATGTGTATTCTTCTTTGTTAATAATTCATTCTTTTCATGGTACTTTATATGTACTTTCTTGTTACTTCTGCACAGCAGCCATGGAATTGTTGCTTAGTGACTTTTCTAGCAATTGAGCCATTGATAAAGACCAGATCTTGAGAATTCTCATTCTTTGAGCTGTGTGCTACAAGAGTAGACTGTATTAATGGGGGTGGGGGGTTATGTGTCAGTTTTACTCAGAAAATGCAGTGGAGTGGCAATGGAATGGCAGTATTGCTATTTTGTGTCCTGGCAGATAAAGAAAGTCAGCGGGAGAAGGAGAAGCTGGAAGCAGAGTTGGCCACTGCCCGTTCTACCAATGAGGATCAAAGGCGGCACATTGAAATCCGAGACCAGGCCTTGAGCAATGCCCAGGCCAAGGTTGTGAAGCTGGAAGAAGAGGTATGGTTTTGTCAGATTACATCTGAATCTGGGACCTGGAGAATTGAGAATTCAAGAATATTGGTCTCCCCAGCGTGGAGGCAACTAACTGTACAATCCACTAACAGGGAGGGATCATCCGCAGCTTCCGGTTATAGTTGGGTTGATAATGGTGGAGTGCAGTTTCTTTTCTCTGTAAGTTTCTTTCTTTTTATTTCAGAAGAGGAAATCACCAGGGTCTTCATATAATCAACTAGTTTCTCACACAATAAGTTCTCAATGCCTATCCAGACTTGCCTTAAGCTCATGATACATAGGCAGACAGATACACACACACACACACACACACACACACACACACACAGCCTTCAAAAAGCTCATGAAAAATGGCTTTAAGACATTCATGTCAGTGATAAACTTTAAAAGAGTAATCCTTGCTCAAACACCCAGGAGGTAAGAAATTAATACAGATATCCCATATGTGTAATAGAGAACCAACCACATCAGCTATCCCCTGCTGCCTAGCGGGGTGTGCGCTAGCAGGAAGCTGGAAGTGTAAGCAGAACTGAGACATGAAACCAGGCATCTGATACGGGATGCAGGTGTCCCGAACAATGCTTTAACTGCTGGGCTAAATGCCCACTGTTCCATGAACTCTTCGAAGACTCCTTGTATATTCCTGTGCTTAAGAAAATTTCAAGTGTTGTTTTGGGAAGAGCTAGGAAATGGTTTTGAATGTTTTCAAATATGCCGATTCTGTCTCACGCTAAAAAAAAAAAAATGTATCTTGATGACAATGTCTTCTGCTGTGGACTTTCTTGGCAGATGAGTGTTGTGAGTTCTGGAACAGGGCGAGACTCATGGCAAGTTTGCAGTTTATGTTGGATTGCACTGGCTGAGAGCCAGGCTGCACCTTAGCGGCTAGTTTCTAGGATGCAGTTATACAGTAGGGTGGATTTGTCAGTGACTCGGGCATAAGGATGGAGCCTTCACTTGAGAAAGAAGAGCAAATCTCTCTTGTACCTAATTAATATGTATCTGGTTAGTCTTGCCATAGGTGTTATTTGATTACAGCCCTAAATTGTCTGCCTGTGAAAGAGAGAGAACTTTGTTGCTGACCTGCTGTTCATCAGTTTTGGACACGGTTTGTCACTGCACCGAAGTCCTAGCAATTGTTACATATTTTACACTCAGGGAACGAGTGGGTTAAACCAAGCACTGATGTTACAGTGTCATTGGTAAAGGAAATTTCACCTCTCGCTAATTTCTGCTGTAAAATTTGAATCTGAAAGATGAAAGCTTTATAAACTTGAGCTAGAATAAATTATTTATGACCAAATAGCGCTTTGACTATTGTGAAATATCTTTCCTGCCTTCATTCATTGCCTGCTTTCCCTCCCGTAGTGGTTCTAGTTATTGGAAATATTTTACCTCATGAATTCCTTCCTTCTGCTTTCTTTTAAGATTTATATATTTGTATTGGAAAGGCAGATATACAGAGAGGAGGAGAGACAGAGAGGAAGATCTTCCATGCAATGATTCACTCCCCAAGTGAGCGCAACGGCTGGTGTTGTGCTGATCTGAAGCCAGGAATTCGGAACCTTGTATTGGGAATCCCACGAAGGGGCAGGATCCCATGGCCTTGGGCCTTCCCAGGCCACAGCAGGGAGCTGGATAGGAAGTGGAGCTGCCGGGTTTAGAACCGGAAGCCATATGGAATCCCAGCGTGTGCAAGGCAAGGACTTTAGCCACTAGGCTGTCACACCGGGCCCTCAGCTTTCTTTTTGGGGCATGACAATCCTGGTTGGAGTTGTGTTGTGGTTCTTTTTTTTTTTTTTTTTTTTTTTTTTTTTTTTTTTATTTATTTTTATTTTATTGTTTTTTTTTTTTTTTTTTTTTTTTATTATTGTTGCTTACATTGTATTGTGTAGTACAGTTTCATAGGCGCTGGGGATTCCCCCCACCCCTCCCATACCCCTCCCCCCATGGTGGATTCCTCCACCTTGTTGCATAACCATAGTTCAAGTTCGGTTGAGATTCATTGCTTGCAGACACATGCCTAGCATAAAGTTCAGCGTCTTATTGTCCAGATAAGTTCAGTGGCCTCTTGGGGAGACCTTCTATGGTCTGAAAATAGGTCTAACAGAGTAAAGATCCAGTCAGTTAAAAGCCCCAACGAGGCCACAGTATCAATATACAACATTATGGAATTAATTGACATAGTATTGGGTAAACAATATGTTAAAAATAATGCAAGTTCCCTTCTTCGAAACATCTGGGTTGAGACAGTATCAATGACAGGTTCAAAAAAAAAAAAAATAACAAACAACCAAACAAAAAATTACAGGTTAAATCAAGGCAAACATGTGGTATCTAATCTTTTGGGATTCGCTCATTTCCCTTAGCATTATAGTTTCCAGTTGTACCCATTTAGCCACAAAGAACTGCATTTTGTTTTTTTTAATAGCTGAGTAGTATTCCATGGAGTAGATGAACCAAAGCTTTCTTATCCAATCTTCTGCTGATGGGCATTTCGGTTGCTTCCATGTTTTTGCAATTACTGATTGTGCTGCAATGAACATAGGGATGCATGTTGGTTTGTCGTAAAACAGGTGTTTTGGATATATTCCTAGGAGTGCTATTGCTGGGTCATATGGTATGCAGATTTTGAGTTGTTTGAGTGTTCTCCAGACTGATTTCCATAAAGGCTGTACCAATTTGCAGCTCCACCAGCAGTGGAGTAGGGTTCCCTTTTCCCCGCATCCTCGCCAGCAAGCGTCGTTGGTGTTCTTGTTTATGTGGGCCAATCTTACTGGTGTTAGGTGGTACCTCATCGATGTTTTAATTTGGATTTCCCTTATTGCTAGGGAGCTGGAACATTTTTTCATATGTTTGTTTGCCATTTGGACTTGTTCCTTTGTGAAATGTTTGCCCATTTCCCGTGCCCATTTCTTGAGTGGCTTGTTTGTTTTGGTTTTTTGGTTGTTTTGAAGTTCTTTATATATCCTGGAAATTAGCCCCCTATCGCCTATATCGTGTGCAAAGATCTTCTCCCACTCTGTGGGTTGCTTTTTTACTTTGTTGATTGTTTCCCTTGCTGTACAGAAGCTTCTTACGTTACCTACAAGCAGTACTTGTCATCCATGATGTGCTTTAGGCTAATTGCTTAAGGGTTAACTTTAATTTACACAGCATCAGGTTAATATCCTGTTGTCTATATCAGAAATATGAAGGCTCTTCAAAAAAGTTTTTGTATTAGAGTATTGGTTTGAGCCTCTGCTGCTGTGCTTCCAGTCTAGCTTCCTATTAGTGTGCCTGGGAGGGCAGCAGAGGATAGGCCAACTGCTTGGGCCCTTGTGACTCATATAGTAGACCTGGATGTGGTTCATGGTACATAGCTGCAGCCTGACCCAGACCTGATTATTGGTGCTATTTGGAGAATGGATCCCCATCCCTTCTTTTCCCTCCCCTCTCCTTCCTGCCCCTCCCCTCCCCTCCTCTTTCCCTTTCCTCACCTCGCTTCTTTTCTCCTCTCTTCCCCTCCCATCCCTCCTCTCCTCCCCTCCCCTCTCCTCTCCTCTCCTCTCCTCTCCTCTCCTCTCCTCTCCTCTCCTCTCCTCTCCTCTCCTCTCTTTCTCTCTCCTCTTCTCTCCAACTCTTCCCCTTTCCATTTGCTTTTCAAACAAACCTTTAAATATTATTTGCACCAAAACAGATCTATCCTCATGGTAAGTTGTTTGATAAGAAATGAGGAAGCCTTGTATTTATCTGGTCCAGGTCTAGGGAGCTTAGCACACTATTTATTTATTTATTTATTGCTACAATTCATATATTCCTTTTCCCTTTTTTGCAAGTACATTTCGCAGAAAATTACAGAATGGTAATGGTGTAAGGCTGGATTCTTTCAGAAAAAGCCAAACTGAGAGACCTGCTGAGAAATAGCTCACTGGTGGTCACATGGCAAATGTTGGGTAGAGCCAGGAATAAAACTGTTATCTTATAACTCTTCCTTCCCTAAACCCTGTAGCCTGTGTTCATGTCTGAATCATTCTCTCGTTCTACTTCCAAAAGGATCATGTGGGTGCTTGTTCAGACTTAGTAACCTCTGCAACTTTTAATTTTTAAAAAAACTTGTTTCAACTGTTGGGCCTTTTATGTTTTTCTTTTAATTAGTTACTTTTATTTATTTGACAGACACAGAGAGAAAGGAACAGAAATCTCTCATCTGCTTTACTCCCCAAATACCCACAACAGCTAGACCTAGACCAGGCTGAAGATGGGAGTCAAGAACTCAATCTAAATTTCCTGCATAGGTGACAGAGATCCAAGTACTTGGGCCGACACCTGCTACCTCCCTAACTGCGTATTAGCAGGAAGCTGGAATTAGAAGCAAAGGTGAAATTTGACCCAAGGGTATAGACATCCCAAAGGCTGTCTTGATGGTTAAGCCAGATGTCTACCCATGGACTCTTCTTTTCAAAAGACTCCATGACTGAATTGTTCACATTAAGTCAAGAATGAAGTATCTCTACCATTAGGTTGTCCCTTTGGGAAAGAGTATCCAGTCACTCAGAAAAAGATGGGCACAAAGACCTTGTACCCATATTGCTTTGAAGTATCTGAGGGCAGAGTGGCAATTGGTGTCTAATCATGAAAGTAACATAGGTGTTGCAAGAAGATGTTCGTCGCTAGTTCTTCATGTTGCAGGTGTCGCTGAAACAGTTTTCTGAAATACATCTGTAGCTTCAGCCATCTGAGGTTTTTTGGTCATTTATTCCAGAGATTTGTTGTACTTTTCCAGGGGCCTGCCCCCCTCCCCCCCCACAAATATACCTTTACAATTTAAAGATGTTTGAGCTAGAACTGAAATATGATATCTAGTGACCAGAGTTCACATGGCTCATAAGATACTGTTAATATTTTAGCCACCATCCAGCTTTCAGTTTCACATAGTTTAATTGTGGGAGATTCAGTGTGCTAGGGGACGTGGGACATTTGACTGGGGAGTGGGAGTATAGATC